TTAAACCTGAGTCTAGGCGCCATCCTAAAAACAAACCAGGCTGAAGGTTCGGATCCAGAGCCCTTGTCGAGGGACCCTTCTTGCGGTAATAGACAAGCTGTCCAAAACACGCGCGGATACCCTCGAAGGGAGCCTTTGTGAGAACCTCCCACTGTGACTTAGACTTGTCACTGTGGCTCGCTCGGTCGAAAGAAAGCGAGAGGCAAGCGTAAGGGTAAGAGTAGGTGTGGAAGTCGTAGGGCAATCCCGACTGAAGGTGGATGCTCCTACAGCACTCTTTCTCTTCCCTTACGTCGCGCTCAAGCACCGAGTTATGAGGCCATCGGTTCGGGAGGGATGTCTCTGGAATGAGACCGACCTCCGACGCTGCCCCTTCAAGCTCGCCTGCTTCATCCATCTTAACTAGACAGACCGGCGGCTTTGAGGTTGGGCGCAAACCGAAGAAGTGCCTCAAGTTCTTGGCGTGGTTCTGAAGCGTCCTGCGAGACAGTGGGTAAGCAACCCTAGCCCCTGAAAACACATCCCTTACAACGTGGTGTGACTTCACCCCCCCTGTCCCTACGCCACGGTGGTCGTCACCTCGGGCCATGATGACATCATCTGTTGCGATCTGCTGCCACGGCGCGGTGGGCACATCGATGAGATCATCGGACTTGGTGTCTGGCTTTTTGGCAACTTTCATCGATGTAGTCTTGGCAAGGCTACATATTCGGCAAAAGGGGTTCTTAGGGAAGTGTGTAAGGAGGTGCTTCGCGGACTTAGCTTCAGCCATTAAGGTCTCCCGTTTGTGCGGTTTTAAAGACTTTGGGTCCACTAAGTCAATCAGAGGTTTGTCGTCCTCCGGATCGACTGCAGCACTGGGCACAGGCTTTTCGGGCGCAAGGGCGCTGGTTGCAGCCCCTTCCTCGAACAGTTCAGAGAACGAGGGGGAAGGTGGTTCTACAGCAGCTGACTCTCGGGCACCGGAAGGTGCGCTCCCTTCAGCGCTTGACCTAAAAAGCTGTGCTCCAACCTTTGAGGCAAAGTCGTCCGCCTCCTCGAGGTGACCGGCTTCAAGCTCCTCGTCGCTAGTAGCAACCTCTGTGGGGGCGTACCCTGGGAGATCACCAGTGCCACTTCCGATGTCTTCGTCAACAACGGACACGGCGTCGGATTCAACAGCGCTTGGCGAAGCAGCTGCCTCAACGGGACTTAGCTGCTCAACGGACTGGTGAACTACAGGCGACAACCGTTCATCGAATTGCGGCACGTATTCTACGACCCTGGAAGCATTAAGCCTAGCACCCCTAGGAACCCTAAGCTTGCAGCGGTGGACTTCTGAGGCAGGCACGAAGTAGGGGCCAGGTTCCTTAGGGTCCCAGACAAAGAGACAACCTTGGTCCTGGACGGCCTTTCCTACACTAAGTGCTGGAGGGCACTCTTTCAGCACGTAGACCTGTTCCTCTTGCGGCACTAGCTTGCTGCCCCCAAACGACAGAGACTGGGTGCAGTGCTGGGCGCCACCACCTGTTGCAAAACCTACGGGCGTGCTTGTTGTGCGGACGCAGGCGCGCATGTCAGAGCTCAAAGCCTGGCGGCCTATGAGATGACGACCCGCGGCAGTATCCCACAGCCATGTCACATTGTTCTCTGTGTTGGCTATGTTGCTGGCAGGCATTGCCGGGATGACTGCTGCGATTGCTGCGTTAGCCTTCGCCTTTGCCTTTGGCTTTGCTGCGGCCCTCGGAGGGGGACCAGTGTACTTCTTCTTGTCGTCGTGCAAGAAGGGGCAAGGATCGGCTTTACACATGCCGTGAGCATAGAACATGCAGGGAGTCTTCTTCTTTTCTGCCGCTGTCATGTCTTTCACCCGCTTGACCTCTGCAGATCTCGGGGTGGTGTCGCCTTTGCCTCCGCCCTTGTCACCCTGGCGCGGTGTTGTTCTGGGAGACTTGTCTCCTTTACCGCCTTTCCCCTTTCCTTTGGGCGCAGGTGCTGCGGGGACTTCTTCGTCCTTCTCTTTCTTTTCTTTCTTTTTCTTCTTTTTCTTCTCCTTCTGCGGCTTGTCGGCAGCCCCTTTCGGGGCAGCGTTGGGCGCAGGAGTGGCAGGAACACTGGGCTGGTCTTTGCCAGCGGTGGCGGTTGAAGTGAGCACCTGCGGCTTTGCACGGAGATTTTTGTCGAACTCCTCGCGGTTCACCTTTTGTTGGTGAAGCTGCAGGGCGAGGTCAACCTTAGACCAAAGCCACTCCGACGTCCGACGGTGACTGCCAGACGCTGCTTCGCGAGCCTTTTCGCAGCGCGGTCTCATGATCCCGTTCTTTTCGAGCTCATCGAGAAGATGATTGAACATCGTCTGCGGGCGCGGCAGCTCATCGATTGGGATTGTAGTGAGCACGTACAGGTATCGGTCTCTAAAGGCTTCAAGTGCAGCGGCGTCGTTGCCCTGCATCTTCATGCTCAAGAGATTCCTCTCACCTAACATACCTATCCTATCCCTCTCAAGCTGGAAGTGCTTAAAGATCGACCGCAGCATGACCCTACCATTGGGCATGCCACCGGATGCCATACGCTCGGCCTCGGTCATCTGCTGGAAGAGAAGACCAAAGCGGCCGTTACGGCAGGTCTTTAGCAACTTTGCCGACACTTCGCGAGTGAGGCGGGGAAACCTAGGGTCTTGCTTAAGCTGAGCCTCTGTGTGAGTGAGGCACTCCTGCGCCCACTGGTAAACTTCATCACCAGGGGTTCGCTGAACACGAGCTATGGCAACTAGAACCTGATTAACATAACCCCTAGCTTGACCCGCGTTAGTGGGTGGCTGTGGGAAGGTCATGTCGGAAAGACTCTTGACCCTGATCACGGTCTCTTCGTAATCCGCAGGTGTCTGGACCTCCCCCGGTGCGCTGGAAGCAGCACCCCTTCCTGGAGACGCTGCTGGTGGCGACAACGGTGGACCACTACCTGAAGGACTACCCCCACCCCCATCCCCACCCCCGCCGTTGGAAGAAAGCCACGGACAGTCTACCTCTAGGTGCAGCTTACTGCCACAAACCCGGCAGGCTGGCTTAGAGGAACCCTCTGAGGAAGACGAGCTTTCAGAACTGGCTTCGGAGGCAGGTCTAGGAGAAGTTGGTGCAAACAGTTGCGGTGCCTGTGTTGGCAAGTGCAGTGTCGGAACTGGTGCTGCTGCTGCCGCCTCCGTTGTGGGAGGTGGTGGCGTTACACTAGAAGACACAGACGGTTGCTGCAAAACAGCCATGGCTTGCGCTAAGGTTTGCACTGTTGTAAGGAGTTCGCCGACCTGAAGGCTCAACGCTTCAACTTCAGGGTTGCGCGTGGGACTCTGTTGCACAGCTGCCGCCTCTGGTTGTGCAGAGGGAGCATCGGAGCTTGAGGTTGCAGGCTGCTCAGCGGGTTGTGCCGCTGAGGCTTCCGGTGCGCTAGGAGCAGCACCCTCTTGGGGCGACTGCGTCGAAGGCTTGGGCCCCCCTGCTGGCACACTGGGTTGCAAGACTGCTTCCTCGCCCCTGTTGCGGGCGGCTGGCGTTGGAGTTGTAAGAGCCGGGCCATTATGGCTTGTGTCAGGTGAGAAAGACATTGGGGGCCAATGCGCTCGCGAGGTTGCTTTCGGAGTCACCGCTGGCGCAACTACGTCTAGCTGCGTGTTAAGTTCAGCCTCTCGCCGAGCCCAATAGTCATCTGTGAGCCGGCGTTCCGCGATCAGCTGCTCAACCCTGCGGTTGCTCTCCTCCCTTTCACGTTGCGACTGTGCGAGCTGTTGCTCTAGAAGGGCTATGCGTTCCAACGCGGTGCGCTGTGCTGCTAAGACCTCTTCCTGTGCCGCGGCGCGGGTGTGAAGAACTGCCTGTGCGGCCTCAGCCCTGACCTGGGTTACCTCAGCCTGTGCCTGAGCACGGGTTTGGTCCACGGTGGTCTGAGCCTCGACCCTCGCTTGGGTTACCACGGCCTGCGCCTGAGCACGGGTGTGGTCCACTACGCTTTGAGCCTCCTGTCTGACACCTTGAGCCCATTCGCCGGCCTGTTGTGCGACCTGCGGGGCTTGAGCCTGTGAGCTTGCAGCTTGAGCCTGTGCGGTGTTCGCGGCGTGCAGTGCTACTTTCGCGCTCTGGTGCGCGTGCGTGACTGCGGCGCCCGCGAGAAAGGTAGCCTGAGTAGCAGTAAGTTCGGGAGGCCTCTGGGTTCCACGGGGTGAGGGCGAGGATGATGAGTCTTGTCGCCTACCCCTACCGGCGCTAATGGTGATCAGCGGGGCTCTGGTACCTGGTGGCCTTTGTCCCTGAACTATGGTTGCTGCTGCGGGAACAACGGGAAGGTCAGGTGGAGGTGCGAGGTCGGGTTCCGAAAAGGAAGAGTCCCCTAGCCTACTTGACCTAGACCTTTCATCGGACGGTGGGGTTATGCCTGCCATCCTAAACCCTATGTAACCGCTGCGGCTCAGACCCTTCTTTTTGGCTGGCTGCGAAACGATGTGGCGCAAAATGCGCAAAGCAATGCAGATTAAGTACGATACAGCACGCGGGAAGGATGCAACCGAAGAGTTATAACCCTAGCTTAGGCTATTAGCTCTATGTTCGGGCGCCTTTGGCTGCCCCCTTCCGGTGCGAAAAGAACTCTGGTGCACGCGCTTCGGCGGCCTTAGGGCTTAAAGGTCTGGGGTGCGGCGTTTGCCGTGCACGCGGTCGGGCCTGGACCTTCGACCTGCGGGCGCCTTGTGCTGCCCCCCTGCCTTTGGCCTCTGGCTGTTGGGTGGTCGCTGTGGCTGTTGTTGCGGGCCGTGCCAGTCTGCCCCTTTTTGGTAAGTTGGGCGACGGCCGGTTGCGGGCGGCTTTGTGGTCTGCCGGTCTGCCCCTTGTTGGTGAGTTGGGCGACGGCTTGCCGGGGACGACGCGGGTTTCACCGGTTACTTAAGGGGGAGGTGAGGTAGGATGCCGTGCACACGGGTTCGGGCCTAAACCGTAGAACCTATGGGCGCTTAGAGCTGCCCCTCACCCCTTAGAACCTTAGCGGTGGATAACCTCCAAGTACTGGCTTTGTGCCAGCCTTGTTGCTCCAGTCGCTCCGGTGCGCTCTTCTCCCAAGGAGTGGAGCGACTCGCTGAGCTGCTGGATCGCGTCGAGGAGGTCTTGTTCAACAAAGAACCTCCGATCCGCCGGCTTCACGACCTGGACGCACTTGCAGCCCGTTCGCCGCGACTCCTTGACGATGTCGCGGTTATCGTCCACAAGGTAGTGGGCGCCTGGCTGCTGCCCCTGTACCGGGCCCAAGGAGTGCAACAACTCGGCCTTTCCGCCCGACCCCGTGCGTTCAAAGCACTGGTTGTAGGACGAAAAGGTGACACCGGCTTCCCGCTCAAGGCTGGGAAGTGCCGCTAGGGCTTCAGACCGGTGTGCTGCCGCCTGCCCGCGTCCGGTGAAGGAGAGCACGTGGAACACCAATGGTCTGTGGGTGGACCACAGATCACCGATGGCTCTCACAACCCGCGGGCTCCAGTTGCCCCGGTCCAAGCCGAGGTCAAGCACCTTGTGCCAATCCCAAACGATCGAGATCGTTGGGCGCAGCCCCACTTGCCTGGGCGCAGGTGCCACTGGAGCCTTTGCTGCAGCCTCTTCCCTTCTGCGCTGCGCGGCGGCTTCTTCTAGCCTGGCTCTGGCCTGGGCTTGCTGCTCCCTTAGCTGTCGTTGTTGGAGCCTTTCGGTTGGGGCAGCTTTAAAGGGCAACTGCTTGGGTACCTCGGGTAGTGGCGGCGGGGCTTTAACCCTAGGCTTAACTACCGTGGGACTACGCGAGCGATCGGCTGCCCCAATGGCGTGGGCGCCCTGATCAGGGTGCGAACGCGGTTCGGTGCTGCCGCTCGCTGGCTCCCCTGCTGTTGTTGCCTTGGCCTCTGCCTGTGCCTTTGCCTCTGCCTCTCGCCTCCTTGCTGCGTCAATCGCCCACTGTGGCGGTGGAGACGGCGCGGCCTTCGAAGGAATTGCCGGCGGCCCCTTAGGATCAGCTGTGGGCGCCTCCGTTGGCGGTGGCGACGGTACTGCAGGTGGTGGTGGCACGGCAGGAGGAGAGATCGTAGAAGCTGTCGGCGGTGGCGCCGGGGTTGCTGCTGCAGCCGGTGGCGCCGGCACTGTCCTAACGCGGCTGGGCGCACTCGGGGCTGCCCCTGTTGCGGGCTGCCGCGGGCTCCTTGACCGAGCCGGGCTGGACGGCCTAGCTTCTATAACCTCACCCGGCCTAAAAGCACCCACTCCTAGACTAAACCCTTCTGCTGTCCTCTCGCCCTGGCGGTCGCTCACCACAGGAGCTGTTGCAAGGTCAAGAGAGGCGGGCCTTCTGGAATAAGCTAGGGCAAGGTCAGCCCAGACAGCCTGAGGAAGATCGTAGGGATCGACCTCCTCAGTTGCAGCCCCTGCGGTTGTGCTTTCGGGCGCGGCGTCCGGGAGCACCTCTGCGTCCCTAGTGCCTATTTCAGGTGCTTGGGCGGGGCTTACCAGTATCCAGATGCCTTGGCGATCTACTCTTACCGTTGGGTAGCTACCAGGAGGGAGGTTAGTCGGTGGCTTTAAAATCCTAGGCCTTACTCGCAGCCGCCCCTCAGGCACTGGGCGCTCGGGTGGCTCAGAGAAAGCACGCTCGGAAAGGTTAGGTGAAGCAGGGCTATGTACAACTAGCGCTGGCGGCGAACTATGTACAGGCTCGTCCACTTCACACTCCTCAACCACCGGCTCCTCCTCTTCTCCCTCAGCGTGGGCGACGCCACTGACTTCAAGGTCCTCAGCGGCCCCTGCGTCAGTGTCGTCGGGCGCTTCCTCCTTAACACCCGCGACCTCGGCAACCACAGGCTCCTCGGATCCTGGGTCGCCTTGGTCGTGGGCGTCGGTGACTGGCCCTTGGTCGTCGTCGCCTCCCAGCTGTGGCTCCTCCTTTGGCAGCACGTCCGACGCAGTAACCGGCTCAGCGGCTTCTTCTTCAGCTGTGGCCTCGGGTGCGGCGGCCTCTCGAGATGCAGGCGCTTCTTCTGTAGTCGCTGCCTCTCCTGCTGCTGGTGCCGCTCCTTCGGCCTTTGCTGCTGCCGCCGGTGGCGCGGCCCCTTCAACCTTGGGCGCGGCCACCGCCGGCCCAACTCCAGTTGAAGATGCTGCTCCGCCGGCTCCAGTGAGCGGGGTCGCCTCGATGCGAGCCGGGGTCCCAGCGGTGTCCCTTGACCCAGACGCAGGTGTTGCTGGCGAAGTCGGCTGTGGCTTTGCCTTCGGGTTGGCTACGTTCGGGGTAGCCGGGTCTGCGGGCGCTTGTTGCTGCCCCTTGCCCTTGCCTTTAGCCTCCTTGCCTTTGCCTTTTCCCTTTCCTGCGCCTTTGGCCCCGCCCTTGCTGACCGGCACGACGGCCGCAAGGGCTGGGAGCACCTGGCAGAGACGGTTCCAATCCGCAGCGTAGCTGTCGTAGATATCGCGGATGCCGTCCAAGTGGCGCTGATGGCCGCCACCCTCCAACACGCGAAAATCCTCACGCGGCAACGTAAACCCAAAAAGCCGATTAGCTTGATCTATAGCGTAATCTTGGTGTGTGTAAAACACCTGCCTTCTTCTACGTTCACCGCCTCTGTCGCCACGCGGCTGTCCGGCCATGCACCGAGGCTGCCCCTCCACCGGGCGCGCTCGGAATCCTAAGCCCCTCTGCCTTAGCTGCCCCTTTTGGGCTACTGGGCGCTGGGCTTACTTAAGGCACTGCGGTAGGTCTCACTACCTACGGCTGATAACCAGTTAAACAGAACAAGACACAACCCACACGAGGCCTACCGCAGAGAAGTGCAATAGACGCTCTTTTTCTAGTCATGTCTTGAGCCAAATACATTGTAGAATTCAGTGTGAAACGAACACTCTCTGAGCCTACGGCGTAAGGCCTAGCAGCTATGCTTTACTACACCACTACTAGGTGCTTAGGGGTCGATATTTCTTAACTTTAAGGCCCCTATATTAAACCCCTTATAGTAGACCTTATGGTAACCTTTATAGACCCCTTTAAAGGGAGCCCTTTAAAGGAACCCTAGTCTACTTGTTAAGGCTACGAATGTCGCCTCTGCCGCGACAGGCCTGCTGCTTCCTGAACTCCACGGAGAGGGTTTAGGGTTTAGGGTTCAGTCAGGGTCGCAACCTCGTTACCAGACCCCTTGTCGTAGTACTCTTGCCATCCGCAACAGCCGCAAACTTCTCATTAATTTTGTACTTGCAAGACCGTCACGGCAAAGATTTTGCCTATCCACTCAACCTCGTCCGCCGGGCAATCCATGATCCACGACCAAGAATGCCCGTTAAGGCTTCCGCCACGGCAAGAGCATCCCTGGAAGCAACCGCTGACCCTAAACCCTAAACACTAAAACCCTGAACACTAAACCCTAAACACTAAACCCTAAACCCTAAACACTAAAACCCTAAACCCCTAAACCCTAAACCCTAAACACTAAAACCCTAAACCCTAAACACTAAAACCCTAAACACTAAACCCTACACCCGCAGCCCAAAAGCCCTGGCCTACTTAAAGGATCATGGGACTTAGTAAGTAGGTTATAACTGGGGTTATAAGTCCCCTAAGTGGGGTTATCCTAATTATAACCTACTTATAACCTTACTTACTAAGTCCCATGAGCCTTTAAGTACAGACCCTGCCTCCGTCTCGGTTGGCGTCACCGGCGCCGCAGAGCTCCCAACTGAGGAAGGCTGCGGTACCTACACTGATGAAACTTTTTTTTTGTTTAAACCCTCTTTTCTCCCTGCCTGAGTTAGGATGGTTGAATGCCACGGGTGGCTGAGGGGGAGTTGATGAAACTTTAGGGTTTAGGGTTTCGCGTGAATACGGCTTGGGGGACCTACATATCGCAGAGTTTCTTAACATTCCAAAAGATCCAAATTCTCTCTATGCAATGTACACTGGCCTCCACGTTAGGAACAAAGATCCTCTTTCTGAAGTCTCCCCCTGCAAAGGTGTTGGCGGAAGTACTCCAAGTCTCCCCTGGTTGTAATAAACAAAAAACATCGGGGCGAAAAGCTCTGGCTTTCCTCAATACTTAAAGGATCATGGGACTGGTAAGTAGGTTATAATTGGGGTTATCCTAAGTATAACCTGCTTATAACTCAAAGGGAAAAAGGAGGGCCCCTTAATGGGGACCCCTACCCTATAATGGGCTATATAATGGGCATATAAGAGCTATATTAAGGGTATATACCTCAAGGTCCTTATTAAGGGTCCCTCCTTTTACCCTTGGACAATAATTAGATATGGTTTAGGGTTTAGGTTGTGAGGACGACTACCACAGAAGCCAACTTGTTGCCATACTGTGCTGACATTGGCCTCCGATACGGGGTCTCAAGACACTGACCTACTGTGCACGGGGGTTTGTCGCGATCTCTCATCAGTCATTCCCCTTTCGATTCTTTGCATGTGGCTTGCAATCATGAAAACAGGGGCATTCATATATAGAATATACAGAATAGGTATAGCAAAACTCGAGCGGGGATACTATTACTCAATACGCCGACTCCTACATTGCAGGAAATATGATTAGGGCTTGTAACTTGTAAGCTCTGCACTTTCGGCCCTGAATCCCTGAACCCGACACTCTGTGATTCTGACTGCTGGCGAGCGTAATCCGTGGCTGCTTCCGGCAAGGTGCAGGAAGGCGTCAGCAATCTACCGACAGCAGCGTTCTGAAAGTGTCTAGGGCTGTGGGGTTTGGGGATTTTGCATGCCCTGTTGTATGCCGAAAGCCCTGCTAATAAACTGATGTAAAATGGAAGCCAAGACAGTCCCTGAACCTAAACTCTAACCGTAAACACTTGTCAATAATGTAGTATGCACCCCAACACCCTGTTCCACGTATTTGTGGCCCCTACGTTCGACTAGCAACATAACAGAAAGCTGCTAGCGAGACGCAGGGCTGACAACGAGGCCTGGCCTTAACTCGCACTTAGGAGTTTTGAAAAAGCTTGAGTGCATATTAATTATAGTACAGCTACGTGACAAACCCGACCCAATAATATTGGTATTTCTTCCTTAAGGACGAAAAGAACCCTAAACGGGTTTAGGTTTCCTACACCCTATTAGGGGTTCATAGTATAGGGTCCTTACTTTTACGTGTCATTTGGTCCTTACGGTTCAGGCTTCTCACAGCTGCGGAGCGCAAACCAGGGGGGTTTAGGGTTTAAGGGGTTCAGGGTTTAGGGTGTATAAGCACCTCGAGTGGGATTATCCTGATTATAACCTTATAATCTTACCTTACTAAGCCCCAGGAGCCTTTCAGTACTAAACCCTAAAATGCTAAAGCCAACAGAAACCCAAGACTTGGGGACTTTCTGCGGCTGTTACTGGGCTTCCAGTCAAGTTCTACCTCCAGGGTTTGAAAAGGAATTCATACGGGCTTCAGACAGCCCTAAACCTTAAGCCTTAAACTATACACCCCTCAGAACCATAGCAACAAACAACATGTTTAATATTCCCTTGGGTTTTAGAGAAACAAAAAGACAACATAGCTCTTAGGAGACTATAGTAAAGGCCCTTAACCTTGAACCTTAATTTAAAATAATGCTAAGGGGTTTAATTTTTTGGTGTTTAGGGTTTAGGGTGTAGAGTTTGTTTTAGGGTTGTTGAAGGGTCGCGCTGCCGGCAAAAGTCGCTAAGTCCTGCTTCTCACGGCTTCGTTGAGGCTGGACTCAATCCCTGCGAGGTCCGCAACTGTTGGGTTGAGGGTGCAGGGTTTAGGGTGCTAGGCCTCAGAATTCTTGGTCTTGGAGAATAGGAATTGTATTAGATTTGGGGTTGGGGCTTTGGAGGTTTTGGGGATGTCGGGTTTCCTTAGAGGAAAATAAACTGGTAGGTTGAGGTAGGCTGTGTCGACCGGATGGATGGATCCCCGAAGGAACATATGGCATTTGCCAACTCGCTGCGGCGGTTCGTCTTCCCAAAACATCTGGGCGGCATCCCGTTACGCAATGTAGGGGCCGGAATAAGTAGAATAGGGCTTTGGGGTATCTTTTACTATATTTAGAATAAGGAACCCCTCCAGAATAGTAGAGGTAACTCTTCAGGACCCTGTATTAGAGGTTTTAAGATTCACACCTGAACTATGGGTTCGTCTCGCAAGGATCCGCTTATCTGGGTTCCTATATTAGTGCCCCGCCTTGCTTAGAGAGGCTTAGTAACCCTACGTAGCCCCAAAAAAGTTAACCTTTTGAATCATAGTAGCATTATATAAGCCCCCAAAGGTTAAAGGTTACCTACTCAGTCCCTAAGTTTGTTGCCAGAACGCTCCCATGCGTCGGGGAAGGGCCACTTCTTTCGTTCAGGGTTTACGGCTTAGGCTGACACCTTGTTTCCGGTATCATAATACGTACCCGAATCGCTAAACCCATGAACCCTAAACCAACCCACCGGAAAACCCTTACCCTCACGCCCCCTGAAGACCAACACCCTGCTTCGTCAGAGTTTTAGCCGGGCTCTCTTGGGTTTCAGAAGGCATCTTTTGTGGGTCTTAAAAGACCGCTTCTAGTGCTTTAGAGGGGCTATGACTGCAAAATACCTCGAAACCTTATGAGCCTATGTTTGCTTCCGCTTAAGTCCCCGATACAAAAACCCTCTACCTGCCCTATAAAACCCCCTACATAGTCGATAGAACCCTTGAATAAACTACTCCATACTTAAAGAACCATGGGACTTAGTAAGTAGGTTATAATTGGCGTTATAAGTCCCCTAAGTGGGGTTATCCTACTTATAACCTGACTTACTAAGTCTCATGAGCCTTTATGTAGTTCTGAAGGCCCCTAGATGCTGGGAAACCGGTGCGTGCTGCCGAATGGTGCCGTTCCGGTTCGTGCAGTGTCTTGCAAGGACTCACAGATGGATCTTGGGACTTAGCAAATAGGTTATAATTGGGGTTACAAGTCCCCTAAGTGGGGTTAACCTACATATAGCCTACTTATAACCTTACTTACTAAGTCCTTTTAAGTAGACCCTATACCCTAAACCCTTAAGCCTATTGTAGAACCCCATAGTACCCTTAAAAGAAACCCTGAACCTTACTTTTCTCTTGAACTTAGTTACTGAGTTCATAAGCCCCAAAAGCGCACACTTTCAGTTCTATAGTGGGTAATAGGATCCCCAAAAGTGTAAAGTGTATCCACTCAGCTACTAAGTGCAGATGGATCTTCGGCTCGGCAGTTTGGGATTCCCATACCGCTACAGCCAAAACCCTGAAGCCTACCAGGACTCGGACGCCCCAGTTGGGGGAATGTTATACTAGGACCTAGGAATAAGAAGGGCTCCCTTTTCGGTATTGGGTAACTGTATCAGGAATCAGGACTACTAAAAGGGAATAAGGGTACTACTGGGCATCCTAGTATAGTAAAACGTAATTGACGACACTAAAGTAAGAACAGTGATGGTACGTCTTCAGGCGACGATATAGGCCCAGACGACTCAAGTGCCGTTTAAAAGGGCTCTGATATTTCTCATTACAAGGTAACTCGGGACTACAATAAAGGGTAGTTGGGGGGAGGGGGGGGTCTAGGAACCTGCAATCCCACATCCAAACTACCCTCTATTATACCTTAAGTACCCACGATCAATGCAACAAGGGCTCCAATTAAGGGTACTTGGGGGGGTGCTGCGAATCCCACCCTAAACCCTAAACCCTAATCAAAAACCCAAAACCCTAATTAAAAACCTTGAACCCTAATATAAAACCCTAAACCCTAATTAAAACCCCTAAACCCTAATTAAAAACCCTAAACCCTAATTAAAAACCCTAAACCCTAATTAAAAACCCTAAACCCTAATTAACAACCCAAAACCCTAATCAAAAGCCCTAAACCCTAAATTTCTGATCTCCAGAGACCCAAGATCGAAATCCAAGAAAGGTAAAGTGGCCCAATTACCTTAAGGACGAAAAGAACCCTAAAAGGGCTTAAGGTTCATTTTGGGGTTCCTTTAAAGGGTTCCTATAGTGGTTCCTATAAGGGTTATTATAAGGGTTATTATAGGTTTTTGTAGGTTTTTGGGTTTAAGGACGAAAAGAACCCTGAAAGGGTTTAAGGTTCAGATACCGTATAGGGATTCATAGTCTATTAGTGTAGGGCCCCTACTTTTACGGGTCATTTGGTCCTTAAGGATTAGGGTTCGGAGCAAACAGGAACCTCAAGAAACCATAGCAGTTTTCTTGGGTAGTACTGAAAGGCTGATGTAGAACTTAAAGGAATACACACAAAGCTGGTTTTGGTAGTTCAAAGTAGTCGTATCCCTTTCTGGGGAGTGCGTTGTTATGCGCTTACTTTTAACATGCCCCGAATACTATCGAAATAATTAAGGTGTCTATAATATGGACATGGCATGGCATGTGACTAGTTTTGTAGGAAAACCCCAGTGCAGGTGCTTACAGCTCGAGCCAGAACCTACTCAAGTCACGAATAACATGGAAGTCTAAATAAACTGAAATATCAGTCTCTCGAATGTGGTCATCAGGCTATGCAGCCTGTTCGTTTTTTTGGCTGTGGGTTCGGGCAATCTTTCGAGTTATTTCAGCTTTGCTTTGTGGTCTCAATTTAAGGACTTGGTGGAGCAGAGCAAGACACACTTTGTGCAGTCTGCGAACGGCCACATTTCCAATTGATTCCAATTTCCAACATCATGACCACGTCGTGCAAGTGAAACGTGACAAAGGTGAAACCTGACGAAATGCTGTGACAATAGACGCAGCTTCCTTCTTTACATCTTGCTGGCTGCGTATCTGGTCGCAATTTCTGGGCCTTAATGGTTAGAACAGAGATATTTAGAATAAGGAGCCGTGAAAACAGTGTTACTATTCAATCCGGCTTCTATGCTTATTTGCTGAGTTCACAAAACTTAGTTGCTGAGTTCATAAGCCGCAAAAGTTGCAGAGTTCAAAAGCCGCAAAAATTTAAACTTGCAGCTCTTTAGGGTTTTATTATCCCAAAAAGTGCAAAGTGCACCCACTCAGCTACTGGGTATACCTAAAAGACGAAACCCCTAAAACCCTAAAGCCTGAAACCCTAAAATCCTAAACCCTAATGGGCATCTTTAGGGGAAGCTGCGAGAAATTCCTGAGTGGCTGCGTAAGAACAAGGGTACCATTGTTCTTAAAATTTGCTTTTACCCAAAGAAAAAGGGCAAAAGGGTAGTACTGGGGAACCTCGATTTAGAGCCTAGGGTTCTGATGACGGCCCAGGACAGTATTTTATAGCTATTGTTTTTAAAGTTTCATCAAATTGTTTTCGGGCAATGGGGGCTGGTTTGTTTTAAGCACCCTTTTCCATCTGCAGAGAGTCGTGGCTGTTTAGGGTCAGGGGCATGGGGTTTAGGGTTTCCGGCAGTCCTAAGAAAAAGCTGCTGGAGGCTACAAATCCCTTAGTTCAGGAATATACCTTAGTTTATAGTAGGATCTTCAATATGATTTAAGGAAAATTTCTTAATTAATTAAGGGATATTTCTTATAGACTCTCCTAAACCCTAAGCCCTATAGATCCCTTAAAGGAACCCTTAAAGGAACCCTAGGTATTCCTTAATTGATGGACATTGGAGTCTCTGGGAGGCTGCGGGAGGCGACTTAAAGGCTACATGGGACTTAGTAAGTAAGGTTATAAGTAGGTTCTAATTAAGATAACCCCACTTAGGGGACTTATAACCCCACTTATAACCTACTTGCTAAGTCCCATGATCGTCTAAGTAGACCCTAAACCCTAAACCCCATACATCCCTTTAAGGAACCCTATAGATCCCTTTAAGGAGCCCTTTAAAGGAACCCTACTAAGTCCCATGATCCTCTAAGTAACCTGAACTACCCCTTATAGAACCGTTATATTATAGATCCCTAAACCCTAAAGGATCCCTTTAAGGAGCCCTTTAAAGGAACCCTACTAAGTCCCATGATCCTCTAAGTAACCTGAACTACCCCTTATAGAACCCTTATATGATCCCTTTAAGGAGCCCTTTAAAGGAACCCTACTAAGTCCCATGATCCTCTAAGTAACCTGAACTACCCCTTATAGAACCCTTATATGATCCCTTTAAGGAGCCCTTTAAAGGAACCCTACTAAGTCCCATGATCCTCTAAGGGGAGGCTGCGGGAGGCGATATTAATATTAGACTCCCCTAAGCCCTAAGCCCTATAGCCCTTAAAGGAACCCCAGATATTCCTTAGTTAAGGGATATTGGAGTCTCTGGGAGGCTGCGGGAGGCTACATGGCGCGTTCGTAGGCGCAGTTGAAGAGTCCCTCACCCAGGTGCTCGAGGATTCCTCAGAAGCGGGGATGTAGGTTAGAAGGCTCCTTTAAAGGGCTCCTTTAAGGGATCCTTTAGGGGATCCTTTAGGGGGAGTTTAGGTTACCTAAGGCTTTAGAGTTTAGGATTTAGGATTCCTCGGAAGTGGGGATGTAGGTTAGAAGGGGCCCCCACCCTGTAATAGTGGTATAATAGGAACATAATAGGGCCCCCAATATAATCCTTTTAGTCACTATTACAGGGTGGGGGCAGCTTCTAAGATGTAGGTGTCAGAGACTCAGATGTTTAGGGATTAAGGGTTACCCAGAGGCCCCATACGGTTGATGATATAAATCCTGCATGACCTTAAGGACCCTAAACTATGGGAATTATGGTATATTCCTTATTATGGCTAATGCAGGATTTATATCATCAACCGTAGTATTTGTTTTTTGGGATAACCTTATAGATTTCTACTATGAATCACAAAAGGAACTACTTTGGGGCCTATGGGTAAGGTCTAGGGATTTAGGGGCTTTAAGGTTTAGGATTTAGGATTACTCGGAATTGAGGATTTCGGGGATTTAGGTTTAAGGGCTTTAGGTTCCCTACTTAGTGTTTTTTTAGAACTCCTTCCTGCTTAGGGTCTAGGGTTTAGGGTCTAGGGTATTTAGGGTTCAGGATTTTCGGAATTGAGAGTTTCGGAAACAAGGTTTAGGGTTGTCCTTACCGACGCGAACGACGCGAACAGGCTACGCTCGGACGAGGTGGTAGAGGTCTCGGCGGCGCCACCCGCTCCTAATGGCCTCATTCAACACAATGTTGTCATCCGATTCGTGTCGGCCTCTAGCGCGGGGCATAACGAGAACACGGAGATAACGAAGTGCCTCAAAGTGGGCGCCGCCTGTGATCCAGCATTCTACCCCGAGGGAAACCGAGGTGAGGTTGAGTTGTTTCGAATTCTATTTCACTATTTCTTTTCCACTTGTCTACTTGGCCATCCATACAACTATGCAGCTGGTAAGTGTTGCTATGAACGCGTCACAAGAAGCTTTCGATGGGGTTTGTGAATTCAGTGCTTAGGGTTTGGGTACTTGCTTCCGAGGTTCGTGTCTCAAGGATAGGTCTTTGGCGTGCAACGTTTTCAGGGTTTAAGATTTATGTAGCATTTAAGGTTTAGGTAGGGTTCGGGGTCGAGGCTTGATCTTGACGACGTCCTCTACCACGAACTCTCGTGCTTGACACACGTGTCGTTGTCTTGTGCATTCCGCTTCTAGTGAGGGTTGCCACTCTAAGCCACTAAGCCTTCAGCCGTAAACCTCAAACCCTCATCCCGAAGCCCTGAACCCAAAACCCTCTATCTTAAATGAGCACTACGGAGGACCCTGAACCCTAAACAAGAGCACGGGGGATGTCAACGGGGCGAGTAGATAGACTGGGCTTTTAAGGTTTACAACTCGGGTCAATGAAAAGTACCAAGACTGTAAACCATGATTGCAGCGAGGAATCTGAAGGAATAGTATGTAAAGAAACCGAAGCAATCGTATTACGCATGCTCTTAACCTAAATCCTTAAAGCCCCTAAACCCCTCAAGCCCTAAACCTAAAACCCTTAAGCCCCTAAACCTTGTAAACCAGGCATTGGCATAACCGTTGGTTGCAGACAATCGTAAGGGCCTGAACGAATAGCAGGAGCCGGTGATGACGCTAATATAGGGGCCTCAATAATTCGAATAGGGTTTTGAGGTGCATTGTAGTATGGAGGGGCCTTGAAGGGGTCTATAAGGGATCTATCCTTTAAAGGGTTCATTAAAGGGGTCTATAGGGGATCTATAGCAGGGTTATATAATATCGGGGCCCCGGCCCCCTTTCCAGTGACCCCACCCCCAAAATCTGGCCACCGCCCCCCCCCTAAAAAATGGAAACGTGTCGATGAGCCCCAAGGTCCGGCGGTGAATTTTCGCCTTCTCCAATGGATTTTGGCTTTCTGTAGGCAGTCCCACCCAATTCCGCGCTTCCCTCCCCCCCCCTCCCCCTCCCCCCTCCCCCGCTCCCCCCCTCCCTCCCCTCCCCCCCCCAGTACCAAGCGAGTTTTGAACCTGAAATTCTAACCCTACTGCAGATAGTAGCCACTCGCCGCATGCGCGTACAGCCGGGCCGAGGCGGACGACGCGCAGCGTTTCAAATTAGAATAAAGTTTTGGGATGAATTTTGCAAGACTAGAAGTATAATAAGGAGCCCCCAAAATGGTATTGCTGATTATTTAAGCCTCCATACTACCAGCTGAACGCCACAGATCCTAAGACGGTTTGCGTTTTAGGGTTTAGGGTTTATGAGGTTCAGGGTAAAGGGTTCACTTCTTGATTCTTGCTATGTCCCCTGAGCCTTCAGTCAGATGAGTAAGCTACCTTCAGCCATTCCCAGCGAGAACACGCTAAACCCCAACCCCAAACCCCAAACCACAAGCTTCTGAAGCCCAACGCAGCAAACCGCTTGAAGCCAAAAGCCCCCAACACCTAAACCCTTCAAGAGCTACGGTTGATGATATAAATCCTGCATTACCCATAATAAGAAATATAACATAGTTCCCATAGTTTAGGGTCCTTAAGGTAATGCAGGATTTATATCATCAACAGTATTACAAACCATTCCTGAACCCTAGGCCCTAAACCTGAACCCTAAACAACCCCAGGCCCTAAACTTGCGGGACCGGATTCTTCGCCAATGTATGGGCTCGGCGGACTTGGATTTCTCCAGCCTCGAAGCACGGAGGAAACTCAGGGTGTTCAGTTTTGGGTTCATCCTGAACCCTGGACCCTGAACCCTAAACTTAGGGTTTAGGGGTGCGGTCTTCAGTTTTTGGGGTTTAGGGTGTAGGGGCTTTAGGGTATCAGGTCTGATGCCCCTTGTAACCAACGATGAATTTAGAATAGGGTTTTGGTGCATACTGTTATATAAGTATAATAAGGAGCCCCACCAGAACTAAAAAGGTCATTATTTAGGCCCCTATTTTAAGACCCCTAAACTCTGCATTCCCCGGCCTCTGCGTCCGGCGCGTCGACGCGCCTTGCTCGAGCCGCTTCTCCTTGGCTCGGGGGACTTAGTAAGTAGAGTTCCTCAAAGGTATCCTTAAAGGGATCTATCAGGAGGGTTGGGGGACTTAGTATAAGTAGTTGTTTTATCGGCTTATCAGTATCGTAACCCCAATTAGGATCCCTGTTAGGGTACTTATAAGTCTATCTGTTATCAACCTACTAAGTCCCCCGCCCTCCAAGAACCCAATGGAGGCGGCTCGGGGCTTACTTAGTAAGTGGGGTTTAGGTCCTTCAAGGGTTTGGGCTTTAGCTAGGATACCCAGTAACCTGAGAATAAAAAGGCCTCTCTTTTTGGTATTGGGTAACTTTATAAGGAACCTAGGACTACAAAAAGGGAATAAGGGTACTACTGAGCATCCTAGTTAGGGTTTAAAGGTTCAGGATCTAGGGTTTGGGGTACTCGAGGGCTCAGAGTATCCCTTGAAGTAGGCTTTGAAATGGTTAAGATTTGGTGTCTAGGGCCCAGGGTTTATAGGGTTTAAAGCTCCTGTCTTTGGGGTTATATCTGGTTGTATAAGATCTGTTACAGAGTCTTATACTGTATATGAATCTTGGCTGACTTCTGAACCCCTCTAAAAAGTCAAAGTTTTAGCATCCTTATTATAGTTTATATAGAAACCCAAAAAGTTAAAGTCCTAAGAGGCAACCAGAAGAAAGCCAAGTTACACTGTCTATGAATCGTCTCGGGGCTCGGGGTTTACCTAGTTGCTGAGTTCATCAGCCCCCAAAAGGTGTACACTTTCAGTTTTATAGTGGATGATATCATCCCAAAAAGTGTAAAGTGTATCCACTCAGCTACTAAGTTTAAGGTTGAGGATTTCTGGGGTTCATAGGGCTTTCAATCAAGGTTAAAGCCTTTAAGGGGGGGATTAAGCAGGTTCCCGAAACCGTCCAGGTACCCGTAGAGTATAAACTCTCAGCATACAAGTACCTACATAGAAACGCCTCTAAGCCCAAAGTGACATACTAAACCCTGAGCCCTCAACCCAAGCTGGCGCATACCGTTTCAGTACGTGGCCGCTTCCGTGATTCTCAACGATACATGCTCCTCATCTCAAACATGGGTGCTAAATCCCAAAAGGAAGCGGTGCTGATGCTCCCTATAAATGTACCTAGGATCCGTCACGGCGCTTAGAACAAAGTTAACTTTTCAGACCCCAGTGTAAAGACCGCAGGAAAACCCCACAAGTTAAGGTCCTAAGGTACTAGAATTGTTAAAAGCAATGCATAGAGGCCCATGGGACTTAGACAGAAAGCTTATCAGTAAGATTCTACTTAGGATGCTCCTGCTTTGGGCACTTATAACCTCAGTTACAATCCTCACAGCAGCAACAGGATTTGTTGAATGTTCAGAACCTTGACTTGACTTCATCGTCGGAACTTCTGCAACACACACACACATGACGTCGTTTGAGCCTGAAGTTCACTAAACCCTAAACCCTAAACCCTCAACCCTTACGGTAACCCTTAAAGTAATCCTCCTAAAAACCATAGAGGAGCCCTAAACTCTAAGTCCTTTGAGCCTTTAAGTATCCTTGCTGGAACAGAGCCATGATTATATTAAGGACTATAGCGTAAGCCTCTTGTAATTTATTGAGGTGTGTTCCGTAATTAAAGGGTATTGGGCTCTCTGGGTGTGGAAGAGAGCCGAGTCTCTGCAGCAGCGGCACGCTGGCGGCCTCGAGAAGGAAAACGAAGACGGAATCCGAAGGCTTTGTGCTTCGAGAGTCTTAGCCCTACATTGAAGAAGAGAGTTCGGGGCTCCTCTAAGGGTTCTATGAGGGTTTCTATAAGGGTTGCTGTAAGGGTTTAGGGTTTAAGGGCTTTGTGTTTACTTCAGGGCTCAGGGGACTTTGTAGGTAGATTATAGGGTCTATAATAGGGGACTTACTAGCACATCCTAATTGGAACCTACTTAGAAGTTATTTACTAAGCCCTTTGAGCCTTCAAGTTACAACAAACCCTAAAGCCGAGTCCTAAGTCCTGCACCTGTAGGATTACCTGGACCCTAAGGAACCTACCTTTTGTTAGGGTTCCCTAATATGAGTTTTTTTTATATAAGTCCTTAAAAAGGTAGGTTACTTGGGGTTAAGGTACAAGGACCTTGAAGCTGCAGGCTTCAGGCTCTCAGGCTTATGCTTTCCTACTTGTCGGGTATCATGGGGAACTAAAGGCTTTTTAGTAAAAAAGGGGATGTATATAGGGACTATACTACCCAAAAAAGGCTAAAGGTTTCCTACTCTATACTACTAGGCTTTAGGCATGTTCAGACTTTAGGGCGTTTAGGGCGTTAGGCTTACAAGGGACTTTGGGTCTTTAGGGCATTTGCGAGTTTGGGCGTTTAGCTCTAGGGTCTGGGCATAGGACGTACTTGAAGGCTCTGCAAACTTACTAAGTAGGTAAGACGGAAAGGCTATGATCTCTCTCCTTCAATAATCGGGCCCAAAAAAGTTTAAAGTTTCTAAGATAGACCAGATATATAAGGCTAAAAAGTTTAAAGTTCCCCCGTTGGCTATCTAAGTAATCGAGGTACCCCTACTCAATTTGACGCACAGCGCCGTTAGAACCAGTTTAGTTCCCAAGCAGCCCCTTCAAGCCAAAAGGAAACAGGAACTGCTTCGGTTGATGATATAAATCCTGCATTACCTTAACGGCTCTAGACTATAGGAATTATGGTATATTCCTGATTATGGGTAATGCAAGATTTATATCATCAACCGTTGAAGAGCATTCGGTGGCCAAGGTGCCGTCTGCACTGAGCATCTTGTCCAGCAGATCAGGAAGCTCGGTGAAAGTGTCCTGGGCTAAGGCCAATTACTGGGTTGTGCTTTAAACCCTTTGAAAATTATTTATGAATAGGTTCCCTTTATGAGGAAATGAGGGAAATTAAAGATTATCCCAAAGCACAACCCAGATTAGTTCAAGGCTCATGGGACTTAGTACGTAAGGTTATGGTTACAAGATAAGGTAAAAGAAAGCATAACCCTACTTAGGGGACTTACAACCCCGATTATAACCCACCGCCCCCTGAATCTTTAAGTAAGGCTATGAGGGCTGGGGGTTGGCTGTTTGAGTTTAGAGATTCGGAGGGCTTAAGGCTCAAAGTGTCCTGGGCTCATGTATCAAGCATTGGGGCTAAGTTCAGGATCCAGAGCTGGTTTTGAACGCCGAGGTTTAGCGTGCCTTTCTACCCACAGACTCCATATATACTACCATCACGGAACTCGGCCCCGAACAACCATCCTTTTCTGCTTTTGGGGGGCCGAATTCCAAAATAGTGGTAGTGTATCTTTGGACCCTCTTGGTTACTTAAAGGCTCCTTGGGCTCCTTTAAGGGGATCTTTCATGCATCATGCAAGCCCCTTGCGGCATGGGGTCTTCCCAGAAAGGAATCTACGTCGAGGGGGACCCCAACTATACCTGTTACATGTTATCGGGCTCACTCGGTGTGTTGCAGTGCACTTTCAAAGGTTTTACCCTGCCGGCCACCACGACCGCCCTAATGTAGGAGCCTTAGCAAGTAGAATAGGGTTTGGGTGGTTCCTTATTATAATTACAGTATACTTAACCCCCCCCACACCCTATTCTAATTATCAAGGCCCCTACGTTAATGGAACCGAAAGTCTAATTGCCCTGAGGGTCCATGCACCCATATAGCATATACTTTGGGCCCAAGGTAAGTATATACGGAGTACTTTGAGGCCAATGTATATACTATATGAGTACGTGGACCCTTACTTAAAGGCTCATGGGACTTAGTAAGTAAGGTTATAAGTAGGTTATAATTATCATAACCCCAATTAGGATCCCTTCTACTATTTGCTTAAGAAACACCCAAAAAATAAAAAAAATAATCCCTATATTACCCCCATAAGGAATATATTTTTTATTTTTTGGGGTTCTTAAGCAAATAGTAGCCTTTTAGGGTACTTATAAGTCTACTATTAATTATCTACTTACCAAGTCCCATGATCCTCTAAGTAGGGTTCGGGTTGGGTAAGCCCTAAACCCTAAACCTTAAACCCTAAACCATCCTACATCGCTGAACTCGAGAAACCTTAGGCTCGAAATCCTGCAAAATAATGACATCACTACCCAGAGACTCCAAGATCCCTTAACTAAGGAATATTCCTTAAATCATATAAGGGAGCCTACTATCATTTCAGGTATATTCCTTAATTAAGGAATATTGGAGTCTCTGGGTAGCAAGATTCCTAGCATCCTAGGTTAAGAGTTTAGGGTTTAGTGTTTAGGGGTTTAGCCTTTATAGGGTTTAGGGAGCATCCTAGCATCCATCAGCTTCACACATCTGGGGTTTTGGGCCCCGTAATTCCGGAAACGCTCCGAGAGTCTGTTGGAAGAAGGACGAAGCGTTTAAAGACCTACCCCAAAACGTATATGGGCCCAAGAGTCTGTAAACCCTAAACCCTGAACCCTTAATCGTATTTCCGGAAAACGGAAATGGGCCCAAGAGTCTGTTGGAAGGCCGACAGCTCGTTGCAGCACCGCCGGCACGAAAGGATATTTCTCGGGACTGAAGCGAATGAGCGACCTCAGGTTCTGCAGGGAAGATTTCTGTTTTTTTTTTATCGTCCCCAAAACAAACATACTTATACGGCACCTAGTATTTACGGTACCCAAAAAGGGACCCTGATTTTGACAAGCACTCTTATAGGTAGACTAGGGTTTGGGGGGTATATCGGCATATTACAGTATTATCTCAGGAGGAACTCTAAGGAACAGACTCCAAACCCGGAGACCCCATCCTCTGATTTTGGGGTTTAGGGTTTAGGGTTTGTATCATCCACGGTTTTGGTTTATCGGTTCACGGTTGGTATAGGTTGATATAGAAGCCTTGAATACTGTGCCTTCGGGTTCCTTGTTATGAGCCAAGTAAAAACCAAAAAAACAAAATAAAACAGTTCTAATTTCTGAGGCCGATATATGGCAACCACTTGCACATAATCCAGAGCCTTCCGAAGCCCCTTCATCTTGGCTGACTTGTGCACCCCTCCAAAAAGTTAAACTTCTAGCCTCCTTATTATAATTCATATAGAAACCCAAAAAGTTAAAGTCCTAAGAGCCAACCAGAAGAACGCCAAGTCATGAAGCAATATTAATCTACCTCAAAGTCACCAAACCCGTGTGGAGCTCCCGGGGAGCTCAACCTCTAGAATAAGTTCGCCGCGGTGCGAGCCAGGTATGTCCGCAGTGATGGACTCCATCGGAAAGGAGGCAAGCCGATTCGTCTTGAACCTAGGGTTTGCAGTTTAGGGCTGTTAGGGTCAAGGATATATGGGTTAAAAGTTCAGGGCTTGTAGGGTCCATGCTAAGCAGGGCCTACATTTGTTGTACAGATCCTTCTACGAGAAAACATAAACCAGAGACCAAACCCTGAAGCCTAAACTCCAAAGACAAACAAAGCATGAACGCCTGCAGCCTGTAACCTAACTCAGGGAGCCCAATACCCCTCAATCAAAGAATGTAGCTAAAATTATGATAGGAAGACCCTCCTAGTTTAAGGTACATTCCTTAATTTAGGGGTTTTGGGCTCTCTGGGAAAGCCGCCTTTCTCCCTAAACCCTAAACCCTTTCCCACAAACCTTTTCCAAAAAATCGCATACCTGGAACCCGAAACTCGAAACCCTATAGATCCCTTGAAGGAAGCCTTAAAGAACCCCTTCAAGGAACCCTTAACGGAACCCGAAGCCCGACACCCCACCGGGATCCTGTAAAACCTTCCTTTTTGGGAGATTCCCTGCCATGATTTCGGTTTAGGGTTTAGGGTTTAGGGTTTAGGGTTTAGGGGTTTAGGGTTTAAGGTTTTGGGTTTAGGGTTTGATTTCCTGTTTGGGCCGTCCTTAAAAAGGATGCCAAGTAACCTAGGAATAGAAAGGGCTCCCTTTTCGGTATTGGGTAACGTTATAGGGAACCGAGGACTACAAAAAGGGAACTGGGCATCCTAGTTTTGGGGTTCCATGCTAGGATTTCCTTTTTTTGGCCGCCCTGAAAGAGGAAGGAGTTGCTGAGTTCATAAACCCCAAAAAGTGTACACTTTCAGTTCTATAGTGGGTAACCTGATACCCAAAAAGTGTAAAGTGCATCCACTCGGCTACTAAGTTATCCGGGATCCAGGTAGTACAAAGGCTGAATCCGCAGCAACCAACCCGCAATCCGAAACCACGAAACCCTGAGCCTGAGTTCAGAGCCTCAAGCCTACAGCTCCTACTGCAGGGGACTTTATAAATGGGTGGTTGTCAAAATTAGGGCCTTTTTTTGGGTACCCTAAATACTAGGTACCATATTATACTAAGGAGCCCAAACGGGACCCTAATATTGACAGTAGGGTTTCGGGTTTAGGGCTTTAGGGTTTAGGGTGTAGGGCTTTGGAGCATCTTATAGGATACCAAAAGAGCCGGCATCCTAAATTCCGAACTTACACCGGGTGGCGAAGAGTCCAGCTCCAGGACTACCAGCTTCAGTTGAGACTCGGCGCATCTCTGGATCCTTAGCATAGCTATCTGGGTTTCATGGTTTAGGAGTTCAGGGCATATCGGTTTGACGGTTCAGGGCTTAGGGTCGAGGGTTTATCACTTAAGCGACTTGAGCGATATATTCCTTCACGGAGGGGTCTTGAGCTCTCCGAGAAATCTGAGGTCTAGTTCTGGGCTCAGCTAAGCCTCAAGGTTTAGCTTGGACTACCATCGCCTACCCTTTCTCTAGGCCCTTACCATGAAGCTTACTATAGAATTCAGAGGGACACTGAAACAGGTTTTTGGGTCGTTTCAGCTTGGGGGTTACTTATGTCAGAAAGGTGAATCTTTTCAGTCTTATAGGAGAGTTTTGGGTTACTTGGAGGCTCATGGGACTTAGTAAGTCTAAGTAAGGTTATAGTGATTAGGATGACCCCACTTAGGGGACCTACGGCCCGAGTTACACTCAACTTACTAAGTCCCACGACCGTCCAGGTAGGGTTATGAGCCAGCACCCAGACCCCCGGGAGGATCTAGAAAGTAGATCCCCCAATTTGGGGCCCTGTGGGCAAAGGATTCAAGCTTCCAAACCCAGCTACAGGGTTGCGAAGCATCATGTCTCGCCCTTCTTCGTAAAGTATGATGCTGTAAGCCTAAACCCTAAACCTTAAGTCGTAGACTACTTACAAGAATCCTTAAGACACCACATCACCTCGGAATGAGCCTTACGCCTCGGTATTTCTGAGGCCCTAAAAGAGCACATAAGCAACAACTGGGATCCGGATATCTCATTGTACTTAGAGGATCATGGGACTTAGTAAGTAGGTTGTAATTGGGGTTATAAGTCCCCTAAGTGGGGTTATCCTAATTATAACCTACTTATAACCTTACTTACTAAGTCCCATGCATTAGAGTATGGTCCCCCTGGGGCGCGCCCTACGCGCTTCGCGCGCTTCGCGCCTCTCGCGCGCCTCCGCGCGCTTCCGCGCGCCTTCGCGCGCTTCGCGCCTCTCGCGCGCCTCCACGCGCTTCGCGCCGCTTCGCGCGGCTTCGCGCGGCTTCGAGCCGCTTCGCGCCTCTCGCGCGCCTCCGCGCGCCTTCGCGCGCTTCGCGCCTCTCGCGCGCCTCCACGCGCCTTCGCGCGCTTCGCGCGCTTCGCGCCGCTTCGCGCTGCTTTGCGCGGCTTCGCGCGGCTTCGAGCCGCTTCGCGCCTCTCGCGCGCCTCCGCGCGCCGCTACCAAAAAAGGCGCCCCGCTCCACGAGGCGAGGAGAAGCACCTGGTCAGCAAGAACTAGTCATTGGTACCGTGACGTCGAAGGAAATGCATCTGCGCAGCTACACTTTCGCAATGACGTCTGTCATGCCGAATCCTATGATCGCAACAGCTCCACAAGTGATAGAGCCCGGCGCCGCCTGGTGCAATGCATGAGGGGTCGACCCCCCCCCCTTTCTAAGCGCAGGCCGCAAAACTAACCTACGCTGTGAGCGTGTTCTAAATCAGCGTCTGCACCTGAAACCATGCCTTAGCTATAGCAGACTGCCGAATGCCCATACACAAAGAAACACGCTACCCATGCATGCGGCACTCAGAGCAATTTGAGCCCGCCGAGCGCGAGAGAAGGAGTTGTCTCACCCCTGACGCAACACACAATCAAGCTCGATTGTCTCGCAAGAGCACTTGACTGTCTCGCAATGCACCGCATGAGAAGTCCCACAGAAGCTTCTGTGATCGCCACTAATTTTCACCCCTCCAGGCAGAACAAGTGCTGTCGCGCCGATGCTTAGACGCGCCACGACTACTCAACACTACAGAACCTGCACCGCGACAGCCACCTTCGAGGAAGGCGGTCGCAATGCCAAAATTTCCGGCCAGCCTTGTACTGATAAGAGAGCCCGCAGCCCGAGAAAAGACCATGGTACTGCAAAAAAGACCCGAGCCAGGGGCACCATAAGCAGAAAACTGACCAGAAGCTGCGAGCACGCCGTCGATGCTTCTTGGCCACATTCTTAGCAAATCGCCCGCGCCGCACCAGGCGCAGGGCACGAAGCATATGCATCTCGCAAACGTCAGCCCAGGATGAGGAATAAGTAGGGCGGTTGCCACAGCGCTCGAGATGCATGACAAAATCTCGAAGGATGAAGGCAGGGTATTGTCCGCCTTCTGCACACGTCCGCATAGCTGCATCCAGAAGTTGAGCGACGGTAGTCGAGGAGTTCCATGCGATTTCGCATTCCAGCGAGCCGTCCCGAACGACCTGTAGACAGCCATGGGTCTGAGTGTCCCACCGCAGCAGCCTGTCAGGGGAAGCCTCCGAACTTGAAGCAGTTTGCAGATTGTGCAACCGGAACCAAAGGGAAGCGTCCTGATGAGCTTGGGCATCTCCATGATGTACGGCTGCGGCCAGCCGGCGGCCGTAAGCCACAGCTCCAGCCGTTGCCTGGGGTGATTCACACCGCACCTCAGACTCAGGGCTCACCGGTCTGGGATTCGACAAGGGATCCCGGGAGCTGTCCAGGAAGTCCGTCAGCCACTGAGACCGGACATCGTAGGAGTCCGTCGAAACTAGCTCCTGAGATTCATCTGACACTGCCAGCCGGGTCTCCTGAAACGGATTGGGAGAAGAGGCCATGATTTCACTGCCGCCCCAAGTAGAGTCTCTGAAGGCGCCTGCGATCTGCGTCCGCAAAGTCAGCGATGGCCAGCAGGATGACACGCAGTGTGCGAGAACTGTTTTGCAACTGTCCAGTTTCAGTGAGTCCCAAGAAAAGAAGTACGTAGCTTGAACTCCTTGTGGCACCTAAAACGTGGTGCAAAGCGGCACCCAGCACAGCACTCCTCCACCCCGTGACCTCGAGGCCCTCGTGCAATAAGACGAGTATGAGTCGTCGGCGGGGGACCGGAGCGGCCGCTCTCATGAGAAGCCCCCGAGGGAGCACTAGGAAGCCTAGTGTTTTGTCTCCTAAGCTGCAAAGTGTGTGCTGATAAGAAGTAGCTGTGCTAGACGTCAGCGATGCTAAAACATGTCAGGCCATCCGCCAAGAAGAAAACGCGAAAGCTCTCTCGTGAGCCGGACACGCTACGGCATCCGATGAAGATGCGCCAAAGCTCCCAGCAAAATTGGCATGCCGCATGCAAAAGGAGGGAATACAACATCGCAAACGAGCCCGCAGGCAAAAGCAAAAAGGTTTAATATTTAAACAGGATCGAGTAAACTCGATAACCGCGACACGACTACGACTGCGACTACTACGACTACTACTACTACGACGACTAGTACTACTACGACTACTAGTACTTCTACTACTACTACTACTACGACGACTAGTACTACTACGACTACTAGTACTTCTACTACTACTAGTACTACTACTACTACTACTACTACTACTACTACTACTACTACTACTACTACTACTACTACTACTACTACTAGTACTACGACTGCGACTGCGACACGACTACGACTACGACTACTACGACGACGACTACTACTACTACTACGACGACTAGTACTACTACGACTACTAGTACTTCTACTACTACTAGTACTACTACTACTACTACTGCTATTTCAAGGCTATTTGTATTCTTACTATGACTGTGATTCTACTACTAATTACTAGTACTACGACGACGAGTACTACCACTACCACTACTACTACTACTACTACGACTACTCCTACTACCACCACCACCACTACTACTACTACTACTACCACTGCTACTAGTAGTAGTAGTAGTAGTAGTAGTAGTAGTAGTAGTAGTAGTACTACTACTACTACTACTACTACTACTACTAGTACTACTACTACTGCTACTGCTACTACTATTACTACTACTAGCCCGGTGCCCCGCGGTGGGCCCACCTTTTAAGAAAAATAGGAATGTACGGTGCTTGTTGCAAGTGCTGAAAGTATCGGCCAGGCCGTATGTTTCCAGACTTCAGTGCACTGCGGAATGGAGCTGCTAACCCTGTTTTGGGGGACCAGCTCGGGTCTCCGAAACGGTGATTTTAGGCTTAAAACTGGCATTTTGAACTACGCCGATGACGCGTTTTTTCTTCAGCCCTCCTGCGTGTCGCTATGGCGCATGACGTCTCCGATCATATGCCACAGGTCTTGCGAGTGATTCCAGTGCTTCCACTGGAACTCACGGACCCGAATGGACCCGAATGACCCGAAGCTCAACGGCTTTTTTGCGCTGAGCAGAAACCCCATGGAGACTTTTTTCATCCACGCCCACAGACCGTCCAGACCACAAGTACCGGCAAGCCCCTGCTTCCCACCCTTTGAGGGTAGCTTGTGCTTGCAGAACTTTGTTCACTGAGGTCCTGTGTTCTTCTGAGGCCTCGAATGGTTCACGGAATCCATCTTGGCCACAGCAAGAAAAGGACTCATGGTTGCGACAATGCATGCAGTGTTCAAGACTCATGCCGTGCAGTGTTGAAGACTCATGCCGAACAGGACGTCATCAAGCACCCCCCCCCACCCCCGCCCGAGTCGATCGGAAATTTGCAGTGTTCAAGAATCATGCCAAACAGGACGTCATCAAGCCCCCCCACCCCCCACCCCCCCACCCCCCCTTCGAGTCGATCGGAAATGTGCGTGACAACATCCAACATCATCTTCGTCATCATCCTCAGCATTTCATAGTGATGATTAATTGCGGCTTGAAACATGCACGGGAGGTGGGTCCAGGAAGGGGCACCGGCCTACTACTACTACTAATTACTACTACTACTACTACTACTACTAGTACTGTGTGTATGCATGCAGGTGTGTAGGTGTGTGTGTATATATATATATATATATACAACTATAACGCGATAAGCACAACAAGACAGAAAACGAAAACGACAAACAACAAGCAAAGAAAGCAACAAGAAGCGGAGCATGAAGAAAAGGCAGAAACAAAAAGGCAGAAAACAAAAAGCAGAGAAAGCAGCAGAAAGCGGAGCGCAAAACAAAACCAAAAAACCAAAAGCAACAAGTTAAAAAAAAAAAAACAGGACCGAGAAGACCAAGGGACCAGGGGACCAAAGGACCACGGGACCGGAGGACCACGGGACCAGAGGACCAGGGGACCAGAGGACCAGGGGGACAGGGGGAGAAAAAAAAGGGAGTGAAAAGATACGCCCTCCGCTGGAAACCACCCGAAATCCCCCTAATATCAAAAATTAAAGGCCCAAAATAATTCTGTATATTTCAGGGGGTAAAGGGGTTTTATTAAACGGATGAGGGGATTTCATACATATACATAATAAGTACATATACATATATAAATCACCACAGACACACATGCACATACACATGCACAGACACATGCGGCTTCGCGCGAAGCGAAGCGCATGCAGGCTGCTTGGCGTGGCTTCGCGCGCGTTTTGCGCGGCTCGCGCCGGCTTCGCGCGTGCCCCTGCGCGCGCTCGGCTTCGCGCGGCTTCAGGCGGCTTCGCGCGCTTCGCGTGGCTTCGCATGTGCTTCGCGCGCCTCGCGCCGGCTTCGCGCGGCTTCGCGCGCAAGCGCTTCGCACGCGCGCTTCGCGCGGGCTGCTTAGGCTTCGTGGGCGTGTGCGCACACTCGGCTTCGCGCCGCTTCGCGCGGCTTCGCGCGCTTCGCGTGACTTCGCGCGCCCACACTTCGCGCGCGCGCGCGCTTCGCGCGGCTTCGCGCGCTTCGCGCGCCTCGCGCCGGCTTCGCGCGGCTTCGTGCGACCGCGCTTCGGGCGCTCGCTTCGCGTGGCTTCGCGCGCCCGCGCTTCGCACGCCTCGCGCCGGCTTCGCGCGTCTTCGCCCCCGCGCTTCGCGCGCGCGCTTCGCGCGCTTGGCGCGGGCTAGTCCCGTCCCCAGGGCGGATCATTCTGTTTAATTAGGGATGTTAGCAACGGCCCAAGGCTGAGCGGAGAGTGTGGGGAAGGGGCGGGGGCTGGAACTGTCCGAGTTCGAGTTCAGGGTTAGCAATGGTCCAGGGCTGAGGGGAGTGCGACGTCAGGGGGGGTGGGGCCGGGTGTGTCGAACTCGAACTCGAACTGGAACTGTTCGAGTTCGAGTTTGGGCGGGGTTCCAAATATAATTCAAGAACCCCCCTTGAAATAAACCGCTTCTAAAGACCGACAAAGCTCTCAGTAAATTCATTAGACACTATGGAAACCTGCAGCGGCACCGATCACGCCCTGTGAACATCTTGCACAAGACCACTATGGCCCTCGACCCTGAACCCGACACACATTTAAACTCTGAAACCTAAAAATCAACTCTGAGCCCTAAACCCGTGAACCCTACAAACCCTAAACCCCTAAACACCAACCCCTAATCAGCTAAACCCTACAAAACCTGAACCCTAAACTAAACCCTAAACACAAAGCCCCAAAACCCTAAACCCTACAAGCCCACAACACTAAACACCTTAAAACCCTACAGACCCTGAACCCTAAACCCTAAACCCCTATAAACCTCTACAAACCATAACAAGGCGGCCACGGCTCCACTGAATGAGGTCCTGCAGCCCTCGGGTATACTGGCCGTGGTTGAAGGCCTCGCTCAGTCTCACCTGTTGGCGATTCCCTAGAAAGCGAAGCCCTTGGGATTTAGGGCGAGGCTGTTACTAGGATGCCCAGTAACCTAGGAATAGAAGGGGCTCCCTTCTCGGTATTGGGTAATTTTATAGGGAACCTAGGACTACGAAAAAGAGAATAAGGGTACTACTGGGCATCCTAGGTTAGGGTTTTGGCTATTACGGTTTAGGGTTTGAGGGTTTGAGGGTTTCAGGGTTTAGCAAGGTTTGGGCTCTAAGACCTAAATCGTCCTAAATTCCCCCCAAAAAGGGTCCCAGCGTTCGGGGATAGTGACCCTTATAACCCTTTTTTTAGAACCCTTGTAGAACCAGCTGGATGTCCTGATGATATACCCGCAGCAGGTCAGTATGTCAATGCTCTACTGCTCCAATCAACTGTCATTAATACTAGGTGGCGATTTCAACTGTCCACAAAACTATCAATAACTAGGGCTCTGTATTGTGCAATAAGGGAAGCTACAAATTATCCCAACTCGATACCTGGTGGACCATCAATCAGACCCTGAAACCGCTTACCAGTCCTCAACCAGTTTCGTCTCTTAGAGATGTAAAACGAAACTCCATTATTTTATACCCTCAACCCTAAACCCGTAAACCTCAAATCCCCAAACCCAAAACCCCAAAACCCGAAGCCTCCAAAACCTATGTCCGAAACGTGTCTGGATTGATTTGTTTTTACTTCTCATTTACACTCTGTACCGTGAACTGAGCCTCAGAGACCAAAACAGACTCAAGGGCTTCTTAGGGTTCAGGGCTTAAGGCGTTAAGGGGTTGGGGGTTTAGGGGCCAAAACAGACTTAATCTTTCAGCTTTTGGCGGGCTTTAAAGAAACAAAAAACATACGCTCTGCTACTGAGTAAAGCCCTCAATCGGTGACCAAGCAACGTTGGGGATGCATTCCCCCCCACAGAGAGGGCAGCGCGGTGTCGATGTGCCGTTCCTGAAGGTAGGGCTTTGGGTTTGGGCTTCCACCAACCCCAACCGAACCTAAAGACTGAGTTCTAAGCCACTGAACCCTAAACTCCAAAGTTCTACTCTCAACAGCCCAGAGAAACACAAAGTTGCAGGAATTTCTTGGGGCATACAATCCCAGGGCCACGACAGTTTCGATGCAACCTCAAAATAAAGAACGAAGTTACAAAATCCCAAAAAGATGTTTTCGACCCCCTACAAAACTACGGGGACTTCTATCGACCGCTTTACCCTACGGCCAATGTATCGAAACGAAATGCTACGCAACCACCCTAAAGCCCATTTTAACACCCCAAACTAAGCTCAAGCTTTTCAGGGCACATGACATATGTAAGGACATCGAAAGAAGCACACCTAAACATGCAGGCTTTATGCGATTCGGGGACCCTGCTTGAGGATTCGTTTAGACGGAAACAGAATCCAAAGCTCAAAGTGCTAACCTGCGCGTTGCCTGGGGGTTAGGTTCGAGGAAGTGTTGCAAAGGTTTACATGTACTGAAGGCCCGTGACCCTGGTAAGTGTTGCAGCTGGGCCCCCGAGACAGCAAGCATTAACGAAGCAAAATACCTGCTGCAAGCTTTAATTTAAAACTCTTGCAAAGCGATGAAAACCCACCCTAAACCCTAAACCCTCAACCCCAATTCCAAAGCCGCAAAACTTGAGCCAAAGGCGCCCATTCTCTGCCAGCCAGCTCCTCAGATCTTTACCGTGCGCTGGTTTTGGGAAATTGGAAGCTCTATTGAAGGATTTCGGCTTCTTTCAAAATTAAGGTTTGATACGTTCTAGGGTCGTTGGTCGGACTTACGGATATCGGAGTGCTTCATATCAGTGCCGGGGGCCTTGGGGCAGTAGGGTTAGGCTGCATGAGCACAGTCGCAATAAAATACGCGTGGATCAGACCCCAGGCCTTTCGGATAGCGTTCGAGGTTCCTGAGTACTTGAAGGCTCATGGGACTTAGTAAGTAAGGTTATAAGTAGGATATAATTAGGATAACCCCACTTAGGGGACTTATAACCCCACTTATAACCTACTTACTAAGTCCCATGATCCTCCAAGTAGCCCCTTTATAATAAGGCCGCCCTTTTCCCTCATTCGGTTTTAACAAGGAACCCAAAAACAAAAGTGCCAAAGGGCACTGCTCAGGAACCTAGGTCCGGGTCAGGATGGGGTTTAGGGTTTCGGGTGACCCTAGGGGTCCATGTACTCATAAAGCATATACTTTCGGCCCAATGCACCAATACAGGGCGGACTTTTAAGGCCAATGTCTATACTATATGCGAGAGTACATGGACCCTTAGGGTGATACCTCTTGGAGATCAAGGGTGTGATGGAGTCTAGGCACGTAGACGCCCCCGAAAGGCTTGAAAAGACACCCTGGGTTGAGCGGTTCATTTTTTAAAAATGTGCAGCGGTTCTTTCTCTGCTCTGGGTTTAGTGAAACACCTCCTTTCGGATCTCAGAACACGCTGTTTTCCTCAGGTAAAAGCAATAACTATGAAGCATAGGTTCTTGGGCATCCCTGAAGCCTAAAACTCCATCGCAGGGCTGTAGGGCTTGGGGTGAAAGGTTTAGGGTTTAGGGTTTAGGGTTTAGGGTTTAGGGTTTAGGGTTTAGGGAAGAAACCTATAAACCAAAAGACTCCCCCAACAGTGACGCTCCCTTAACCCTAAGCCCACGTCCAAGCATCTCCGTTGCTTCGAAAACGGCTTCATTGGAGCAGGGCTGGGCGCACTGATAGTACCTCGAGGTCTTTACTGCCTTCTTGTTGATCAGGGACGGGTGGGCGGGGCATTTCTCGCAGAATGACTATCGTCATGATCCTGACGGGGATTATGATGTTGATTACGAACGTAATTAGTATGGTTCCGATGTTCGTCATTAGTGTGCCACAGTTTTTGTATACGCTTTGGCTGTTGAGTCCCTCTTCGCACTGGCGTTGTTCTCAACATTGCTTGTTACTTTAGTGTTTGGCGGGCGGGGCTTTGAACACCTCGTCTTCTTAGTTACTGAGTGCATAAGCCCCCAAAAGTGTACACCTTCAGTTCTATAGTGGGTAACATGATCCCAAAAGTCAGAAGTGTATCCACTCAGCTACAAAGTCTTTGTTTCCCAAAGGTTCCAGTCCGAGGATGCAGATTCAGGGCTGTTCTTCAGGGCTCTAGGGCTCTAGGATCGGATGACGATCATGTTGACCGATGTCGATGACACTGGCGAAGACGGCGATAACGATTATGATAGGCATGGTGAATATGATGATGATGATGATGATGATGATGATGATGCAGTTGATGATGAAAAAGGCCTAGTAAGGACGACGTGCATTCATATACATCTACATGCGCATCTATGTATATGTCATTGTTGTAAGTATGTATCTGTATGTGTGTATATATAGATACATAAACTGTATACTAATCAATATCAATATTTATATGTATACGCGCACACACATCTACATCTCTCTCTCTCTCTCTCTGTCTCATTATTTGCGTGGTTCAGTGTGTCAGAGGGTTTCCCTAAGCCCCTAAACCCAGAAACCGTGGTTCTCCGCCTCCAGCTGCCCGCCGGGGTGTAAATCCGGCGCCGGTCGAAGCCAGCGCGCTCGAAGTAGGAGTCAGCATTGCCTCAAGGGTTAGTTCCTGTTAGGCTTCCATGTAGGGTTACTTTGAGGGTTCTATAAGGGGCTTTAGGGGTTTTACGGTGTAGACTTCTAGGGCTTAGTGTCCTAGGATTTAGGATCTTTGGGTGTGGTCCTGAGACACAAGTAGAAGAGTACTACTTGGGAAGCTGAAAAGCCGTGCAGAACCTCCAGGAGAACCAATAACCAGGCCCACACAAGTTCAAGCTTTCAAAGATAGGCTAAACATGTAAGGCCAAAAAGTCCAAAGTCCTGATCCCTCAAGACAGCCAAAACCCTCACTCTAAGACCCTTGGAAAGCCTGACACTTGTTTGCAACCTTCTAGTGGGCGTCGGGGGAGTTAGTAAGTAGATAGCAGAAAAATAAGTACCCTAAAGGTCCTACTACCTTGGGTAAGGACACTTAGAAGTCTTTGAATTCGCCTCGGCCCCGGCCGAAGCGGTCAGAGGCTCCTATTCGGATTTCCTCTATTCCCCACCTCTTAATCCCCTCGCCAGTGACCCCACCCCCCAAAATCCTGCCCCCCCCCCCCCCCCCCTAAAAAATGGAAACGTGTCGATGAGCCCCAATTCGGAATGACGACACCAAAATTCGTACTGATACTACCACTACTAATACTACTCACAATCATCCTGCTTCGTGTTGCTATGAACATTACTTTTACTATAAGTGCGATTCCAACTGTTACTTTTTTCCTACAAGAGCTTGCTGCAGATAGTAGCCACTCGCCGCATGCGCGTACAGCCGGGCCGAGGCGGACGACGCGCAGCGTTTCAAATTAAATACTTACTAAGTCCTCCAAGTAGGGCGAGGACGGCTCGGGTTTCGCTGGGAAAAACGGATCGCAGTGACAGTCAGACGGATAAGATTCGACCACGCGGCCAGGTTCATCGGTTTGGTGTTTTGGGGCATTTTTCTAGGATGCCCAGTAAGCTGGAATAAAAAGGGCTCCCTTTTCGGTATTGGGTATCTTATAGGGAACCTACCACTGCAAAAAGGGACTAAGGGTACTCCACTGCCGCAGTATTCAGCACAAGATCGGGGATGGAAAGTTGGTTCGTCCTGTGAGAGCTCTCTATCGCTGGAACTGTAAACGCAAAACACGACCCTGAACCCTCAAGCCCCACATGCGCAAACATGGAAAACAAGTTACAAGCAGCCCCTGCAACAGGGATTCGTTGCCCCTCGTGTACAACTTCTGAATGAAGGGGGAATCCAAAACAAAGACGGACCACAGCAAACCCTGAACCTTAGACTCGTAAAGCCTGACTTTGGTAACCAAAAACCAAAACCCTAAACACAGTATCCAAGAATCAGGTATAGACGAAGTAGTCCTTCTCGCCAACAGCAACGCCTAGCCTCAAATGCGAGCAACGTCGAACTGCAGGTTTCAGGATTGTCGGGCCTGCAGCACGTGTAGGGTTTATAGCGTCGACTCTGAGCTCCTACAAGTTCTTACCCAAAGGCCCCATAGTAGTTCCTTTGTGGGGTTCATAAATAGAAACCTATGAGGTAATCCCCAAAAGGAACTATTTTGGGGCCTTTGGGCTGAAAAAGGTTTTATTGTTATACGGGTCTGACAAGACTTTGTAAGGGCTCAGAGCGGCTCAGAGAGCCCAATACCCCTTAATTGAGGACTATGGCTTAAATTATAAGGGGCTTCATATAATGATTTAAGTTATAATCCTTAATTAAGGGATATTGGACTCTCTGGGTTCATCTAGGGGTTTGAATAATCATCCAAAGGGGTACATACTGTGCAGAGAATCAGAGCCTTTTTGGGAGCCTCGAGGCTATGCGGGCTGCCTCCCCGCAGAGAACCTTAGGGTTTAACTTTTTAGGGTTTAGGCGTTTAGGTTTTAGGGGTTTAGGGTTTAGGGGCTAGGGTTTAGGGTTTAGGGGTTAGGGTTTAGGGGTTTAGGGGTTTAGGGTTTATGCGTTCAGGGTTTAGGGGTTTAGGGTTTAGGGGTTCAGGGAACCTAAAGTGCACCTGGCCTTTAGGTTTTAATGTCTACCAAAACACTCCAACCAACCTATGTCTTTCTTTTGATTAACCCCGGGATCTGCGTCAGCCAATGAAGTCCTAGCGGTAAAGCCCTAAAGTAGGGCCTTTACAGCAACTAGAAAAAATTGTGCCAATATACTGAAGTGTACATACATTAGGGAAAATCTAGGGCGTAGTATTCTGACATATTCAGACGCCTACATGCAGTCGAAACCCTAAACCCTACACCCTACTCCGTCTAAAACTAGTGGCAGTAGGACAGGTTTATGGATTTGGGGCCGAAGGTTCACTAGGCATTTCTACCGTGTGGGTCCTCTGGGTTCTGGATCCTGTGGGCAAGCCGCCCGCTAAGCCTGAATTTTAATTACCCTGCTCGGCAACGTCCTACTATAGGGGCCTTAATAATTAGAATTGGGTTTTGGTGCCCACTATACCATACTATAGTTATGATAAGGAACCCCTACAATTAATTATTCAGGCCCCTATATACTATCGGAATTCCAGGTGGCCGCTCCACGGTGGCTTCATCCAGCGGCAGTTTGCGAGTCTTCTGCATGTGCCTGACTGCACTTGTGTGGGGTTTAGGGTTTAGGGTGGAGGCTGTTGGGTTAACCATCCAAGACTCGTGCCCTTAAGGTAAAGTAAGCATCTAAAAACACTGTTTCAACTTTCTGGGGTTCGCTGAACGAAGGTGCGACAGTGGCAGTGGAGGCATAAAGCTGAGTTAGGGTGTATGTGACTGCAACCGCGTAATCAGCCTTCGCACACGAAATCAAGACTTGAGCCCAATGAAACCCTAAACTCCAATACTACGGCAACCTAAGCACTACTGTGAGGCTTCGATCATGAGAGTGTTCAGTTGACCTAGGTGCAAACAGGCTTACATTAAATCGAACTACACGCTAGACTTCACCTAAACCCAGACCAACAACCCTAATTGACAAGAGCCTGTCCTGTTTTTTCCCGGGCACTGGATTGTAGCACCGTCTTCTTCGCTGAACCCTAGACCTTAAAGCCCTTAAGCTCTCATCCTGTTGTATCTAACCCCTGATTACTGGATTGTAGCTCCGTCTTGTTCATGACCTATCCAATGCAAGACAAACGACGGAACTCTGCTGAGACAGAGCCCTGACAACAGCAACCTCGTAGCATAGTCCCTGAACCCTAAAACCCTACTTGTCGGGTATCATGGGGAACTTAAGGTTAACCCTTTTGGCTATATAGGGATTAGACTGTACTACCCAAAGAAGGTTAAATACTCGGCTAAAACCTCAAGACTGCAGTGTAAGCGCGGAAAGCCTGTACTTGGAGGGGCAGGGGACTTAGTAAGTAGGTTATAAGTAGGGTCCTAATTGGGGCAACTCCATTTAGGGTACTTAAAACTCTACTTAGAACCTACTTACTAAGTCCCCTGCCCTCCAAGTACCTTCAAGACCTCAACCAAAAACACGAAACCCTGAAAACCCCCTACTAGGATGCCCAGTATCCCAGGAATTAAAAGGGCCCCCTTTTCGGTATTGAGTAACTTTATAGGGAACCTAGGACTACAAAAAGGGAATACGGGTACTACCGGGCATCCTGGCCTAAACACGCAAATTGCACGCCACTGACGCCTAAACCCACCAGCCCAAAGCAATAAGCAGGAAGTATGTGTTTTCTCCCAGGGGCTCTGCCCAGAAGGCCCACTTTTCCTGCAGACAGTTTCTGCTTTGGGAAGTGCCTTCTATCTGGATTTCCCATATCCCCTTACCGACAAGGGTGCCCTTTCTCCTATTCAATAGTTTTCATGTGCTTTGATGAAAAGAAGACCCCGGAAAAACCAGGCACGAAAACTGCTATGAACTCCCATACACCCACCTTATACAATAACAACCTGTCAAGCCCATCATTGGCTCACTGCGTAAAGTCCGAAAAACCTTAAACCCTGAACCCAGGGGCCCGAATCACTAAGAACTGGGGCAAGCTAACATCTTGAAGCCGCCAACTCAAACAATTAGCCACGTCGACAAGGCCGTTAAGGTTCCGTTTTGGGCTCAGGCTCTTCGGGTTTATCTAGGGCATAGGGATGGGTGTTTATTTTAAGTGCTTGATGGGATGAGTGTTTAGGCTTTTAGGGTTTAGGCAGTGTTTAGGCTTTTAGGGTTTAGGCGTTCTTTTACGGATTCCGTTTTAGAGTCGACCATGACAAGCCCCATGCAAGCAACAAAGGAAATAGCAAGTCGAATACGACATGAAGTTACAATCAAAGGGGAAAAGGAGGGACCCTTAATAAGGACCCCTACCCTATAATGGGCTATATAATGGGTATATACTAGCTATATAAAGGGTATATGCCTAGGGGTCCTTGTTAAGGGTCCCTCCCTTTACCCTTTGATACAAGCAACCCCAACTGGGCTCATCCTGGTTCTTGCAGTACTCCTTAAGGACCAAATGACCCTTAACAGAAGAGGCCCTATAAAACTATGCTATGAATCCCTATAGCGTATATGAGCCCTAAACTAAGGCTCTACACCATAAACCCTAAGCTTGATAGATATACTATAGGGCCTTCAATTGCTAGAACTAGGTTTTTTGTGACAATTCGACTATAAATAGGAGCCACCAAAATAGTGCCCAAAATAGTGTAGGTAATTATTAAGGCGCCTATATTACCCTGTGTTCTAAAGATAGATATACCCTAGACATCCCTAAACCCTAAACCTTGTGCTCTGTGTTCTAAAGCTGCTCTCCTGGGAGGAGAGCCGGCTGTCCACGAGATCGATGCAGTCAGACGCAGTTTTGAAGCCCTTCCTCAGGAAGGGGTTTAGGGTTGAGCATTCTGGAAGCTTTAGATTGTTTGGGAGTTGACAGTGTAATCAAACAGGTGGGTCGGAGAGTCACTCTGCACCCCTCTCAACTCTCCGAATACTTGCATATAGGGGCCTCAGTCATTCAGAAGCTGCAACTATCTTTTGGGGAACGCTCAGCACTGTTGTCACTAGTCATGGAGCATCTTGGCTGAAGAATCATGACAAATTCATGTGGGTAGATCGCTAAATTGGGGTCCCTTGTCTGGTCCCCACAACAGTACGGCACCCTTGTAAAAGACCCTTAAAGGGACCTTCATTTAGAGAACTGCCCACGTTCTTCTGTTTTTTGGTGTAGAGTTTCGGACCCTAAAACTCGAAACCCTAATCCCCTAAACCCTGGACCCTCAAACCCCTAAACCTTTTGGGGCTTGCTCGAAGAATCCCGGGAGTCCTTATTCCACTTCCCAATCGGCAAGGTCTGGCATAGAGTTCTATAGGGTTATGTAAGGTTTATAACACGAGCCTAAAGTCAATAATTCTGCAAACCCAAGCCCTACACTACACTTGCACACCCTGTATAAGTCCTCCCTATGAACACTGATTCCCTAAACCCCGAAACCCCTAAACCCCTAAGCCCCTAAACCCCTAAACACCTAAGCCCCTAAACCGGAAGCCCCTAAACCCCGAAACCCCTAAGCCCCGCAACCCCTAAGCCCAAGCCTAAACCCCTAAACGATATAAACCCAGCAGCCCTGAAACAAAGACCTGCCGGGCTGCTGTTGCATGCTGGGATAGTGGGCCTTGAAGTGCTCCTCATTGGAATACAGCTGCCCACCTAGGATTTAGGGTTCAGGGTTCAAGGCTCAGGGTTTCGGGGTTTAGGGTAGGTGCTACTTACTTAGAGGGTCCAGGGTGAAAACTTCCAAACTCTTACGCTGCTACAAGAATGTGTTCGAGCTTCAGGAGTGTAGGGTTTGCGTGAACCGTAGAAACCGGCGGTGCCTCTTATGAATTCTCTTCCTAGGTTCTTGAAGGTTCTTAAAAAGGCAGAGGGGTTAGGTCTAGGAGTGTACTTGGAGGGTCGGGGGACTTAGTAACTGGTTATTTTAGGGGCTTATAAGTACCATAACCTCAATTAGGGTCCCTGTTAGGGTACTTACAAGTCTACTTACTACCTACTTACTAAGTCCCCCGACCCTCCAAGTAAGTGTTGGGGTGTATGCGCAGGGATGAGAAGGGCCCGAATGTCTTCCAACCACAAGGTTTAGGGTTCAGGGGCCGGCTTATAGGATCCTTAAGGGAGGGTGGTTCAAGGGGGGAGGGTATAAGGAATCCTTAGGGGACTGTAAGGGAACCTTAGGGAGTACTAGGGAGAATTAGGGATCACTAGGCTATATACCCCCCTTGGACCCCCCTCCCTTAAGGATACTACGGGGCCCTGTGTCCGAAACTGAAGGCGACCTTGACACGTGACAACCTTAGCGGTTTAGGGTTTATACGATGAGGGCTTTAGGGGTTTAGGGTTTAGGGCATGAGACAAACCCATGCAAACACCATAAGAGTTGTATAGAATGTCAAAGTCTTACCAGCCAAATTCAAAACTACTCGCGGAGCGAGCCAAAACCCCAAGCCCTTAAAACCTTAAACCCAAACCCCCTAATAACCCTCAACCCTAAAACCCCAAACCCTAAACTCTAAAAACCCTCATAACCCTAAACCCTAAAAGCCCAAACCCTAAAACCCCAAAACCCTAAAACCCCAAAACACAAAACCCTAAAACCTAAAACCCAAAAACCCAAACCCTAAAACCCAAAATCCCAAAACCCTAAAACCCCTAAACCTTAAACTCTAAAACTCTAATAACCCGAAAACTCTAATAACCCTAAACCATAAAACCCCGAAAACCCTGAACGGCGCTAAGCCCGGAGCCTTCGTAGAAGGGCGCCGCTTCGCTCCCAGATCCGCAGCAAATAAGTACGGCCTGAAGCAACTTGCCCTAAGGGTCCATGTACTCATATAGTATATACATTGGCCTTAAAGTACTCCCTATATAGGTACATTTGGGCCCAAAGTATATGCTATATTGGTACATGGACCCTTAGCAACTTGGGAGTCTCTGACATGGTTTAGTGCAGTTTTGGCTTCATTTTGGGGCTGAAGCCGTTTAGGTTTTAGGGTTTAGGCCAAATTTTTGGCTCAATTTTGGGGTGGGAGTTTCTGAAATTGTTTAGGTTTAGGGTTTAGGCCATTTTGGGCTTCAGTTTGGGCTGGGAGTTTCTGAAATGGTTTAGGTTTAGGGTTTAGGGCAGTTTTGGCTTCATTTTTGGCTGGGAGTTTCTGACATGACTTAGGATTTTTGGTTTCACTTTGGGGTGGGAGTTTCCGAAATGGTTTAGGATTAGGGTTTAAGCCTTTTCTGGCTTCATTTTAGGCTGGGAGTTTCTGACATCATTTAAAGCCTACCGTGCATGTTGGGCTCTGGCGGTTCGTTTTTCTAGTGTCAGGCATGTGGGAGTTTCCGGAAATAGGGGACCCCAATATAGTACCCTAAATAATAGGATCCTTATTATAAGGACCGCCAAAAAAGGTACCCTAGTTTTCGGAAACTCCCATATGGCAAGCCTGAGCATGTTGAGGTTCTGGGATGCCCAGTAACCTGGCAATAAACAGGGCTCCCTTTTTGGTTTTGGGTAGCTTTCTAGGCAACCTAGGACTACAGAAAGGGACTAAGGGTACTACTGGGCATCCTAGGGTTAATCGGAGATGAAGCTCATCTAAAATCATGTAAGACCAGGTGAATGTCCATGAAACGCCGTAGGGGAATCCGTCTTGAGCACAGAAACCCTCTGAACCAGTGAATGAAACCCCTAGACCTACACATCTGAATGGAATATCTGATATAATAGTTAGGAAGGAGTAGTGGTACGGTTGATGATATAAATCCTGCATTACCTTAAGGACCCTAGACTATGGGAATTATGGTATATTCCTTCTTATGGGTAATGCAGGATTGATATCATCAACCGTAGTATTTCCTTATGGTCTCACTGTGCAAGTTAATTTAATGTTCAGTACACTTGGTCCACCAAAAACCCTATTGAACGAACATGGTCGGAAGAACAAATACGGTAGCTGGAATATTCCTATATACTTAAGCTCACCATAAAGTTGTAGCACAACAAATACCCCTAAACCCGCCCCTGCATTGCAAACTAATGGTATAGGTACTTATGGGGATCAGACCTGTATACAATACCTAAGTTATTTGCTGTGCTTTTTTGCTAAGCTCGAATCCTGAACCATAAACCCTTAACTCCCTATCAAGACCTAACGGCAAGTAGGTACTGGTTGGTTACGGTATACCTCAGAATTACCTAACTGCGCTGTCTTAAGCCAGACAGAGCTCTTTTGCATCCCCATAGAGCTATTGCTTTATAAACTCTATAAAGCCCTGCAGTAAAACGATGTTAAGCCCTCCTAAAAGAACCTGCTGAACCACAAATGCAAACAACGACGTGTAAACACTGTATTGAGCAAAATCGAAACTTATATGGGTGGTTGTCAAAATTAGGGTCCCCTTTTGGGCCCTTTACTATAATACGGCACCTAATATTTAGGCTACCCAAAAAGGGATGATAATTTTGACAACCACCCATATGACATAACACCACACAACACACCGGTAGAACTCTGCCTGCGCTTCCAGCAGCCACTTGGCAGCAGCCATCTCTTCGTCTGCCCAATCTCGGCGCTTGACCTTCTGTCTGGGTTCCTTCATATTACGCTACTCAGAGGGTCATGGGACTTAGTAAGTAGGTTATAAGTGGGGTTATAAGTCCCCTAAGTGGGGTTATCTTAATTATAACCTACTTATAACCTTACTTACTAAGTCCCATGAGCCTTTAAGTACCTTTGAAGCTCCGAAAAGGGTTCATTCAAGGGGTCTGAAGGGTTTAGGGTTGAGGGTTTCTTTTGCGGAGACGTTTGGGCAAACATTTTGTAGCACCTGACAACTCGGCATGAGATCTCGAAAGACGTAGAACTGGGCTTCATTCACTGGCCATTTTATGTTGAATTGGGTTTGGAGGGTATGTTTACTATCGCAGCCACCCTAAACCCTAAACCCTACAGCCTAAACCCTAAACACTACACCCTAAACCCTAAACCTTAAGCCCTAAACCCTAAACCCTTAACATCAGGGAAGCCTAAGCCTTCTCAGGGCCAGCGGCCGTGTTCGACGGCACGGTCTCCGTTGGAGGCCCTCCAAAACTCCTGCACCCAAAGGCTCAAGGGACTTAGTAAATAGGGTTCTATACTAGGATTCTATAGGGTACCATAGTGTTCTATAGTAGGGTTCCTTTTTAGGGGTTTAGGGGTTTAGGGCTTACTTGAAGGCTCAAGGGACTGAGTAAATAGGTTTCAAGTAAGCTTTTGATTAAGATACGCCCATTTGAGGGGGCCTTACAAAAGCCTTGAGCCCTAAACCCTGCACCCCTACCTTATAAAGCCTTAAACCCTAAGCCCTTAAGCTATTACTAAGTCGTTGGGGTCAGGTTTGACTAGAGGAATTCTTTGCTATTGGGATTCTTCTACTTTACTGTATTCTTCTTGTTTATTGTCATTCTTATTGTTATTTGTTATTGGCAATGCTCTTTAAGGCTGAGAGCCCTTAAGGTTGACCTTTTGTGCCCTTGAAGGTGGAGGGACTTAGTGCTCTTTGAGGTTGAGGGTTTAGGGTCTAGGGATATAGGGGTTCTATAGGGACTATACTACCAACAAGGGTTAAAGGTTACATACCCTACTACTAGGACTGAGTGGCCTTTGAGGTCTAGGGTTCTGGGTACCTCAACCTACCGCAAATTACTTTTTGCATGTTCCTGGAGTCTAATGTAGAATCTATATGGACGTCTAAGGGAGGGTTCAAAGCCATTTAGATTGGAGGGTTTATTTAAGGCCGCAAGGCCTCTAGAAACCCTAAACTCGCCGAGAAGGGGAGTGTGGAGTTTGCTATCCGGCTCACAAGACAGGATAGGCCAGAAGTCAGGGTTTAGAGTTTAGGGTTTGGGGTTGTCAGACATACAAGCTCAAAGTTTAAGCAACAAAGATAAGTTGGAGGTTTTAGCAGCCTATGCGCACTGCTCGAATTTAAAGAACTTTTGGGCCTGAGGGCTGTTAGTGACGAGTTGTAGTGGTTTAGAGATTTTAGGACTTGGGACTCGACGGCTTTTGGCTCTTGGGAGCTGGGTCCGCCACTGCAACAGCTTATGCACTGGGGTCTCAGGCGTTGCCTCGTCGAACGAAAAAACAGTTCAAACAAAAAGTTGAAGAACCGTTCATTCGGACCGGTCGACTATAGTGATGCTCGAAGCTGAGACAAGTGTCCAGTGACCAACCATCACACAATAGCATGAGCTCGCACTTGATGTTGCGAATCTCAGCGCTTGCTGCCTTTTGCGTAAAGCCAGGCCAATTATTGAAGGAAACACTCCAAATACACCATCACAGGAGTTTGGCTCTAGCAAGAGAGTGATGAGACCCAAGCCCTAAACCCCCAAACCCTAAACCCTGGTCTGCACAACAGGTGCGTTTTGGACCAAGGTCTGCGGGTATTCAAAAACCGCTTCGATACAATTAAATCTGTGGAGCCAGCGGAAGTTGTGACCCTTGACCTTAAGGACCAGATGACCCTTAAAAGTAGGGGCCCTATAAAAAAATCTACTATGAATCCCTATGAAGTATATGAACCCTCAACACTTTTTGGGTTCTTCTCTCATAGGGATCCTTAGGGGTGTAGGGGGGAGGGGTGTAGGGGACTATATTTCCTTAAATAGGCGTTATTAGTCCTTATTATGGGCCTTAAGGCCCCCTACCCCCCCTCCCCCTACACCCCTAAGGATCCCTATGATTCTCGTCCAGGTGGAGGGCTCGCGATCATTTGTCTCTGTCTTATGAGCTGTGGAATAGCCACACACCATAGTGCCCCTTAAAAGAGCCCTTAGAGGACCACGGTTTAAGGTCTAGGGTTTAGGGACCCTCAATGCAACTCATCCAAAGAGCCACCCCAAACCTGGGAACCTAAGCCCAAAATCTTACTTCCCCAAAACCCTATATCCTAAACCTTCAAACCCCAAAACACAAAGCTCGACCAACATGCAAAACCTGAAATCCTAAAAGCCTACTACGCCCCAAAATCCTAAACCCCCAAGCCGGGAAAACCTTAAACCCGAGAACTTACACCCAAAATCGTACAACTCTAAACTGAACCCAAAACCCTACCACCCAAAACCCCTAAAATCCTAAAACCCAAGAACTCACTCACTCACTCGCGTTGCGGAAAGATCCAGAGCGATCAGCATGCAAATCCCAAAAGCAGGGCTTGCTGTAAGCCCAGCGGGAACTCACGGAAAGACGAAGACTGTACACAAGCCGACAGGGAGCGAGAAGCAAGCTACGACCCGTCGGGCTCAAAGGAGCGACAAATCGAGGAAGCGCGGACCACGAGCTCATCAGCACCTGCCTCAAAGAGGGAGGTACGAGATCTCAAGTGGTTTACCGCCGGAATGAGAAGCTCCTGAGGAGCAGCAAGAAAAACCTGACCTTCGCTGAGTGACACGGACGTGAAGACTGCATCGGGCAGGAGGTCACGCCACAATCGGGTCCCCAGTGAACTTGGGCGTCCGCAGATCCAAACAGCAGCACCCATTTGCACATGCTTGCAGATCAGACGGAACATCACCGTCGCGCTCAACAAGGCGCGCAGAGCAATAGGAGGCCCGTCAGTAGGGCCCTCTGTAGCATCAAGCGCGACACGCAATGACTTGAAACCAGAACGTGCCTCGAAATCCCATGGATGAAAGGAGTGAACGGAGGTCCACAACTTCCACAAGCGATGCCAGACAGTGGGAAGGCGCCAGAGCGCCGGCTGCCGCACCATCTCAGGCCAGCGCGGTGACACAACCCGACCAACAACCGAAGGCAAGATTGGAGCCAACTGCTCGGCTTCGATCACGAAACAGCATCGCAGGCTCGTTGCATGTAAGGAAGCAGCACACGCTAGAGGTGCATGAGCATCGTTGGGCCTGACATCCGTACCCGGTGCCGGCAGAGATCCGCTGGCACCTTGATCGAAATGGTCGAGTGCATTGTCTGGCCAGTCATCGACTTCTGTAACCCCAAGATGCAGCAGACGCTCCAAGCGGAGCTCATCTTCTGTGCATTCGCGCGCCTGCTCAGCTGCTGCCCTCTGCGCCGGCGTGGCATTGATAGGCCCGGGCAGGCGCGTCGCTGGCAGGCCTCTGTGGCATCGGGGCCCTTTCCTCTTGGTTCCGGTCCCGTAAATGTAAGCAGGGCCAACCACAACCCTTAAACCGTGTAAGCAAGCGGGAGACGTCTTGAGATGGTACTTGAGACGATCTGTGGAGTGCTGGTCGGCATGGCACCAGAGGCACACAGTTCCACATGTATATTGTGTGAGGCAGTTGACTACAGAGTGCTTCCTGTGGATGTGTGCAGCAAGGGCATGGGCACTCGGAAGACATTGGCCACACAGACGGCACGTGCAGGGGTTACGACGACCCAGAACCCGAGAGGTCTTCTGCACAGTAACATCCTGCCACAGGAGGTGAAGCGCCCTGTATGCAGAGCCGTAGCGGCTGAGGTGTCGGCAGGCCTTAAAGAGTAGGCTAGCCTTATCACGAACAAGGAGACTCGTCACCCGGGTGCGATCGTAGGGGCCTGGCAAGCTATGAGCGAGTTCCTGGCAGGCTTCGGTGAGCAACTGCCCCCAAGGCGTAGCCCGGTTCCAGACCGCATCAACCAGATTGCCGACACATGCTGGTGCACGCGTGAGCAGTTGGACCGTGAGGCGCACCCGCGCAATGCAGATGGCGTCCTCCGGGGAGGACAGGCCCAGCAGCAGAGTGAGAAGAGGCTTGCTGAGCATGTGGCCATATGACCATGATTCCACGAGCTGTCTAGCAGCCCTCTCGAAGAATCCAACCAGCGGGCTCAGGGCTCGTGCTGAGGTCGCGATAGAAGTGGCAATGGTTGCGTAGGCAGCTGGTAGCACTCGGCCGCCTACCCATGCCTGTTTCAGTCGCCACGGGAGCCGCGGGCATGTAAGGAGACTTTTCGCATGGGACCATGCTGCATGTGCACGTTGCGCGCACAGTTCCATGTCGCGTCGGCCGGTATCCCGGGGAGTACATATCACCCCGAGATATCTGTACTCAGGCGAAATGCGGACCTCGTGTCCGCTGGGCAGGTGCAGGACAGCCGGCGCAGCGAGGAGCTCACTCCGGATCTTGGTGGCCTCTACACCTCTAATATCGACCATAACCTCTGTTTTGCTGGCACCGAGGTTAATCCTGAGGTTAAGAAGATCAAGGGTGGTGATGGCGATAGTCACAAAACGTGGGAGGAGATCCCGCAGTTGTGCCGGCGACATGAAATCAGCAAGTATAGCAAGATCGTCGGCCCATCCAATGGGGAGTACGGTGTCGTCTGCCCCGATGTGACTGCCAGCGGCTTGGAGAGTGATTCCTTCGGCGCTGCATGCCCTACGGATATGACGCAGTGCAACCGCGAATAATGCGCCGAAAAGGATATCAGCAAGACCGTCCCCGGGGCGGGAGCCTTTGGAGGCAAGGAACACATGATCCGACCCGACAAGCCGCCAATGGGAGTAGGCAACGCAGTCGTGAAGGAGTTGACGTTCCTCATCAGGAACCCCAAGCAGGGCTAAGGCACCGTTGTCCCGCAAGGAATGTGCAAGGCTGGATAGATGCGATTCAGCCGCTACGCGGGGACCGTGCTGGACCTCCAGGTCGTCACCCTCGAAAATGAGCTTCCGGCTCACTTCATAATAGGCGGCTTGGACATCGACGAACAGTGCAGCAGTGCAATGTTGTGAGGCGACGCACAAATCCGTGACTGCGCGAAAGGCAGCGATGGCAAAGCCAACGGGGATGCCAGGTTTACCACCTAGCTGGGCTGAATCATATCCACGAAGGACATTGCGCCCGACAGTGCGACGCAGGTGGCCATGCCATAACTTGGCAATACCGTTGAGGAGCGCAATGGCCCTATAGTTCTTAGGAAGAGCCGCAGGGCCCTTCTTGTAGAGCGCGCAGTAGAGCGCAAGCTTGAAGTGCAGGGGCTCGCGGCCAGTTAAGGCGATGCGCGTTAGGACTTCCCAGGTCCAGCGCCCCGCCTGCACGGGAAAACAGCTCCAAAACTCGTTAACAATCCCATCCGGTCCTGGTGCTTTGTTACCCTTCTGCCGTCTGCAGGCATCTTCTGTCGCAAGTAGGGTAGGGATCGCTGCTGTGCACGACGGGGCCTCAGCCTGCAACCACGGTAATATCACGCTACCAATGTGTGGTGCCTGAATCTTAGAGGCAGCCTCTTGCGCCCTAAACTGCTCTTCCAGCTCGGCTTCAATGTCGAATCCACCTGCAGAGAAGACTTGCCGGCGCTCCGCAGCTCGCCTAGAGGCCCAACGGAGCTTAATAATGGCTTCATGCGGACGGCCATCAGCATGCCACCGATCGGTAGCAGCAGCGGTAAGGCGGAGGAAGTGGGCTTGTTTATCCTGCCGGGCATACGAGTGTGCGATGGCCTGGAGACGGCGCTCCTGTGCCCGCATGGCCTCAACCAATAGCCGTGAATGTCGATGCTGCACCCGTGCGCCGGCGCGCTCTGTGGCGGGTCGGCGACTCCACCTGCGTAGGACCAATCGTTGCGCTGCTTGCTTAGCGGCTAGCTGGACAGCCCGCAGCTGACAGCGCCAGTCCCGAAGTTGAAAGAGCCAAGAGAGAGTGCGCGGTTGAATGTAGGGCTGACGGGGGGAGAGGGCCCGTTTCGGAGCAAGCATTTGCACCCAAAGCCGATGCTCAGTGACAAGCTGACTGACAAGCTCAGCGCTGCTGGTGGCCTCATTAGGGTGAGCAGCGAGTCGTTGCCATACAGACGCCCCGTCGTCACGGGTGTCAGTTGCATTGCTCCGTTTGACAACACATTTCCGGCCAATCGGCGCAGCTGGCTGCAGTGTGGTGCGGACACGGAGTGCCAGGTGGTCGCGTTGGGAGTTGACAATATCGAAGTCCCACGCCTGACTAGCAAGAGAGTGCGTCCAGGCACCAGCTCCGAACAGCAGATGGTCCAGACGTTTGCGACGACCGCTCGTATGTTCCCACGACCACCCCGGTCCGACCTGGACAGTCGTCCACGTGGCTGGTGCCTCTAGCCCAAGTGATGTCGCAAACTCGAAGAGATGTTCATCATTGGACGTAGCTTCATGGCGGGCTACCTCCGGACCGATGAGGCATGCACCCTCATCTTGTGCGCAGAAGTCACCATTGGCATCAATGCCGAGGACCAAGCCTCTGCCCTTAGGTGCATGTTGCAAGGCATTGCGAAGGTCCTGCCAGAAGGCGCAGCGTTCTGATACCGGTCTGTCCGCATGCGGTGCATGCGCAGCACATATTGTGACAGGAAGACGGGGGTCCAAGCAAGTAACAATCAGAAAGCGGGGTGTCGCGGCAAGGATGCGACAATCTGAGAGCTTGAGCGGAGGATGGACTTGATCTGGGCGCAACCAGACTTCACAGCCATATTGGCCTCTGTCAGCACCAGAGCGCCATTGGAGCCATCCGCCTGTACTCCAACGCCCGGCTGGCGCACGAGTCTCCTGAAGACATATGCGATGTCAGCTTGAAGGCGAGTAAGTTGACTAAGCAAGTATTGCCTGCGTGCCCCATGGCCGGACGGGTTGAAAAGATTGCAGCGAACATCCTTGATCGACTGAACGTTAGCAGTCAAAATCTGCAACTCAATGGGAGGTTTAACTGCGGGACGAGGACGCAACTCAACCGCTGCGTCCGCCGGTGGGATCCAGTCAGTTGGACCCGGGTTGAGAACAAAGACTGGCTCGCTCTCATGCATGGTAGCACGTGGGATTAACCATAATTCAGGATATAGGTCGGCCGCGTGTGCCTTGCATGCCTGGAAAGAGGCTACAGTCATCCAAGAATCAAGTACCCCAGTAGTAGCGACCGTGGCAAGTGCATCGGCCAAAGTGTTAACCTTGACGCCCATATGGCTGTGCACATGCCGAAAGTGCGTGGTAACACGAGCCTGGACTGCCTGCCAGACAGATCTAACTCGACGGGAGGCCTCCGTACTAACGGCCCCGACACCAGCAGCGGCCTGGAGGGCACTGGCATTATCAACCACAACGGAAACCGAACTGGGCCTAGCCGCAGTCCGTAGTTGCCAAAGGTCACACATAGCTGTGCACCACTGAGCCGCAGATTGAAGTGCCGCTAATTCAGCCAGATAAGAGGTCAGCAGGGTGCCTGGGGCTTGGCCTTCAGAGGGTAACCACGGGGTCGCTGGCAGTGAACCGGCCGCCCAACCAAGGCGATACCATCGACCGCGTGAGAAGCCCCAGGCAATGAATGCCCAGGAACCTGCAGCTACCCCACTACCATCAGTGGCGATCAGGAGCGACTCAGGTGGCCCTGCTTGCCATCGGGGCTCCGCTTGCCATGCATAGTGGTAAGCTGCGGGGAGCATGCTAGGTAGGGCGTCAGCCAGACCTTCTGTCCACCAGCCCTGATGCAGATGTGCCTGTAGCTGGCAGGCGGCTTGCATTTTTAGGTGCCAAGTGCCGTCTTGCATTTTGCACCACTCGGAGGGTGCACCCCACGCGGCCAAATAACAGACCAAGCAGAGGAGAGCAAACTTGAGGAACCCGTGTTGATTAGTCCCCGTGGAACGTCCCAGGCTGCTTAGGAACAAAAGAGGGGTACTGAAAAGGGCCAGACTGAAACCTTTTCGGCAGCTTCTGCTAGAAACAGAGGTGGCTGAGGAGTGCGCGGCCCGTCCATCAGCCGAAGGGCCTGATAGAGGCTGCGGCAGGTCCCGCGGAAGCATGTGGATGATGTTTTCTTCGGGCACGGGAGACCGCCATGGCCACCAGCACTCAACCTCCTGGAGCATGGCCGGTAGAAGACTCCCGAGAGGAGGATACCACGCCTGGCCAGGAGCCGCCCGCAGTATGCGGTACAATTCGTGGGGATCGCGCCAGAGCAGTGTCCAACCCCGTGTAAAATTTCCAACGGGCAACTCCACAGTCCGTGTCGACTAGCGGCACCAAAAGTAGGAAATGTCGGACCAAATGTCAGGCTTAAGGACGGTCGCCAGACATCCTGGGCGACACGCAGACAGTCACCGTCACGGAGGCAAATCTGTTGTCCGCGGCGACCCATCATTGGGTGATTGCCATCAATGTGGGAGACCTCTGCAAAATGGTGTCGGGCAACCTGAAGAAGTTGATCGTACAAGATATGCGAGGGGAGGAGTACGGCACGGGGTGTCGGCGGCCCTACAACAAGAACCGTGACCCAGTTAGGAATCCCCAAGCAACAGACACCGTGCACGGACTCGGCCCACGGGGCAGGATCCACAGTCACGTATCTGTCGGAGTGCAACAAGCCTGTAACGGGCCCAGGGCCCCTATCCGGCCCATTCGGAGCACTGCGCCTGCCCAGAAAAGGACACCATAAGCACGATGGTGCACGGCGGCCAGAGAGCGGGCTGGAGGGAGTTGCGGCCACATGCGGGAATAGATTAGCAGTGCCCCAGACAACAGCAAGTGCAGCCCAGGAAGGCCGGAGTAAAACCAACAACCCCACAAGGTACCCAATTCCAGCACACGCTCCATTGCTACGAGTGGGGGGAAAATGCACAATGTCCCCATTGCGTAATTCAGGCCAGCTTTTCTCAGAGGACAGGCCAAGAAGGAAGCAAGGGCAATCAACCCGGTCAACCAGCATGCCGCAGGTAGCAGCATTGGCTAGGGCATGCACCGTGTGACAGGTGCCACGAAGCTGCTCATCTTGCAGTGTCTCAATGATAATATTACGTAGGTCAGTGTCGGAAGACTGAGCACACAAGTGAGGCCGGTCATCGTAAGCCCATGCAACTGGGATCCATCGTCCCGGGTAACGATTTTGAAAAACACCCATGAAAGTACAAGCCTCGGCCAACCATTGTGACCCGGATGGAACATGAGCTTGAGTCGGACGACGGCCAGGTCGCCAAAGCACCACGGAGAGAGGAGCTTCGACCTGGAAGTCATAGGACCAGAAGGCCATGTGACGTATGCGCGCAGCAAGGAGTGGCTCTTCCCTGAAAACCGGAATATCGATAGCACTGTGCTCCGCATCAGTGGGAAAAGCCAGTAGCAGGTCTCCATCGCGCCAGTGTACAGCGTCACTAAGACTCATCTCAGCTGCCTGAGCCGCAACCGGGGCTCTGACGGACAGAATGGGTCCGGGAGAAAGACTGCGTAGGTAGCCAAGCAACCAGACTATGTCAGCTCGACTAGGAATGAGGAGTGGAAGATGCCACTCGACAGACAGCACAAGCACACACGCCAGGGACGGGGCAGGCGCAACAGGCACAAAAGTGAGGCGCCCAGGCACTGGTGCCGGAAAAACAGGCATGATGTCTTGTGACCAGGCAGGCTCCGCGCCGGTAAGGGCAACTCTAGCGTCTTCAACCGTGTCGTCGGGCGTAAGATCAACAGCCGGGTCACCTTGAACACCATACGGCGAGAGCACATGACAAAGCTGTCCAGGCTGGATGGAATCATGCAACGCGCGGTCTTCATCGGGCAGACGCCAAGGAAATTTCCCGACCCTGACCGGCTCCTGAAGTTGCGCTTCCGGAGGTGCAAACATTGCGAAGGTCGGCTGGCCCCAGCCTCCCAGAACACAGAGGTAAAACAAAATGGTAAAACCTCGGCTCTTAGCAGCGAAAGCAGACAAGGCGGGAATCAAGGGTGGTACGGGAGCTGGAATCAAGACGTCACCATCCCGGAGAGCCGAGCCAGCTGTTCGGCACTGAATGTGATGGGCGAGTTGCCAACCTTGCGGCACCGCATCAGCCGACGCAGGATTATCTATCAACCAACATTCAGGCTCATACCCACTGAAAGGTCGGTACGCCAAAACGTGTGCACAGCCCGAGGGAGACTGCTGGACGAAATGGCATCGGCCGTCGTAATGGGACACAGGCACCCATCGAGCAGATCCTGGAGCGCAACGCGGTCGGCAAAATTGTAGGCTCCCAGGGAGCCAGGCACTGCCGGCTGGAATCCACCGCCGTTCACACTGAAAGAGCGGATCCCTTTGCGGTTGCCACACAAAGACCCACGCTCCATGCTTAAGCACGAATGGTGAATGCCAGGCATCCAGATGCGGCAGCCAGTGGGCGTAGCGTGGCCGCGAGGGTAAGGAGACTGCATGCGGCTGGCTAGGGTCTAGCCTCCAAGAAAAGCTGTCGCCATCTCGGAGATCGATAGGAAGACTAGGGAGTGCCCTGTATCGCGCGACTGCCGGCGCAGAGACAAGGTGGTTCCCATTCGGATGCTTAACTTTGACGTAGGCGTGAAGCTCTCGCCACGAGAACCGACGGGGGACGAGATGGGCTTGTCTACGCTCACCCGTGTGGACCACTATAGTAGCCAGGTCCTGTAGCCCGCCAGGGAGCATGACGAGAGGCTGACGGGCAATCGTGGGACCCAGAAGTACATGGCGCCGGCTCCACCCCCCACAAAAGAGAGCAACGCGACCATCCAAATCGTCCCCAGACGTTTCACGGAGGAAGTAGCCGGTGGTGCCTCCCGCATGAAAGGGGGAGAGAATGCAGTAGTGCGCCCGGCCGTGAGTCAACACCTCATGCATAGGCTGCGGGGTTTCTGGCCGCCAACACCCAGCACGAGGACTAAGTGTCGCGGAGGAGTCCGCTGAGGAGGCAGCAGAACCACTAGACCGGCTACGTTCCATCCTAGTGGCAGCTCCAAGCGGAAGCAAAGGCAAGATACCCCAGAAAGTCGGCAGCCTGCTTATAGCGCACACAAACGCAAAAACAACCCATCTATGTAGATGAGGCCGATCGGCAGCGCCGATGTTCCAGACTGCTGGGCCAGGTGGTTCATACAAGTATGAGTCGAAAACGATGTCACCGTCACGTAAGGCCAGAGGCGCGGTAGTGTCATCAGGGGTGGCCCCGAGGACAGAAATGTGCTCCGGCAAGGTGTGGAATTCTTCCGCCAGTTCAGTGCGCGAGGTACGGCTAGTAAAGCTGACGGCCAGAACACCTTCGTGGCTTTCGTGCAGAATGTGTGCCCGGCCCCTCCGATCCGCTGCTTGAACAAAGTGGACACACTGTGCCGGATGCCAGGCAACCGGGATCCAACGCCCAGGATGGCGGGTACTAAATGCCCCACTGAATGTTCCAGTATCTGGAAGCCAAACAGAACCGCCGGGGACATTGGTGAAAATGGGAAAACGTGTGTCGGGCAACCAGACGGCAACTATCTCAGTGGTCACAGTAGTGAATGGAACATCCCATGGGATGCGGTCTGGCCTAGCAATAGAAATGTGGGTAGCTGCTGCGTCTGCCGGGATGGCCGCAGGTCCCAAAAGAAAAACATCTGCATTTCGAAGTTGCAGTTCTGCAGCGTGATCCAGGAGCAGCTGATTATGTAGAGCTGGCGGGAGGCGAAGGCGCTCAAAGTGCCACCCTGACAAGTGTTGCAAGCTGCGAAGTAGGCATTCATATGTGCAGCGGCCAGGCACCAAGATCGCTTTAAGGGCCTGCTCTTGCTGGGCAACCACGCAGACGCAACGAGAACCGGCTCCGATATCAGGAATAAAGAGAAGCCGATCATCCCGCGGAGCTGGCCACACAGGGACAACGTCGACCAGCCATTGGCCATGGACTGCCTGATAGTGTTGTCTAATCGCTGTGTATGTGCTCTGAGAGGGAACCTCATAGACTCCCTGAAGGCCTGTGAGCGGGCACAGTAAAGTGCAGCGGACCTGCGCCTGCTGAGCCACAACCTGTAGAGTTCGCTCGTGTGGCGGGAGACGCCAAGGATACCGGCCAACCTCTAGGCCTGGCCGGTGACGGGAGTGGGAAGGCATCACAACTCCTTGCATGGCGTCGGCGAACGGAAGGAGCCAGAACAGGAGTAACGGAAAGCAACCTCGGTACCGAAAACAGCTGAGGAAGATACCGGATCCTAGCCCCGTGGCAGACCTGACGGGAGTGGGAGGGGGAGGCCCAAATGGCCCTTGATCAAGGAGAAGGCAGTCCCCGTCCCTTAGGTGCACAGGCCGCTCCCCCAGTCTGCGAGTTGGATAGGGCTCTCGCAGGCGACCAAAACGACCCCCGAGTGTAAGAGCACGACTAGGGCCGCTTGGTAGCGTCCGGTGCAGGCACGTGGCGTGCAGACCTTGCGGCGTGCGAAGAACAACGGAGGCGAGGTTGGGCTCAGCCGCAGCAGGGATCAGATGTATAGCATGCTCATCTGGCTGTGGTTGAACCGGGACAATGGGTTGCCAGCCCCTCCGGTGGGCAAAGTCCTGCAAAAAGAAACGAAAGATCTGCCCGGAACCGGTCAGCTGAGTACGAACAGAGCACTGATCGGAATTGGTAAAAGGGTTGTGTAGCACAAGCGGGCAACCAGCTGGTAGGAAAGGCGAGAGGCGATTACTGCGATCATCCACTTCGCAAAGAAAGGCACAGACTCTAGTCTGGAGTTGAGGAATTTGCTCAAGGCAGAAGGCGGGGATAGGGAGCGGCCACGCTCCAATGGTCGGGGCGCCAGTGCGGGCTGCAGCATCGTCACTGGGACGGACAAGATATGGGTCTGGTCCTCCAGTGCCAATAAGTTCGGTGTCTGGTGTTGGAGCAGTCACTGCAGTGAGAGAGGGCGAGCTGGGAGGCTGTGGCTCTTCCGAAGTCTCGCTGTCACCATCCCCACGACAGCAAGGAAGCCACACCAGCATACAGAGACCGGACGGGGCGCGCGTAGCGACACAAAAACCTGACATCACAACCGTAAAAACCCAGGAAGAAACTGAAGTACGGAGCTTTGCCTGACTTTCAGCATCAGCCTCTGGCCCGCGGAAACGGGGTTCTTGAGGACCCTCCTCCGCCTCGATGCCTTGCAAAACGCCCGCTGACTCGAGCCGAGTGGTAAGCATAGTCAGTTGGTGGCTAACTTCATTGACCTGTCGAACAAGACTGTGTTCCACCACATCACCAGCAGTCGCGGCCGGAGCAGGCTCGACCCGGTGGACTTCGGGCGACGGTGGTATATTTGTCGAAGCCGATGGAAGCACGGGACGCACCTGTAGGTCCACATCGCCACGCATCGGCAGCTCTCCGCAGGGACCCCTGCAGATATCGTAGTCAAAATGGAACGTCAGCGGAGCACCGACGGGGGTGTCCCAGGCGGAAAGGCCAGCGGACGACCCTGTGTGTTGTCGCACAAGAGTAATGATTGTCCCGTGGACCGGCACTGGCACCTGTGTGCCATACGTGATGACCCGATTGCCATGCCATACCGCGAAATGACCTTGCGCAAAGAAAGGGAGGCCAAAATCATCAGCTGCAGCCTGGCCTATTTGCTGCCAATCGAAGATGGCACTGGCGGCGCCGAACACTGTACCTCGACCCCGGTAGTTTAGGAGCCAATATATCATAGGCGGCGCAGATCCAGAGGGTACGTGGAGGAGATGCGCAACCCCTTGCACAACTTGGGGCGTGGTCCATACGAAATCCCCGCTAGCTGGAACTCCCCGAGCAGTGTTGGCTACACATTGTGCCATGACTGCTGGATCAGGAGCCGCAACATAAGGCATGACTGTAGGCGCAGAGAGTGTGTGTGTCCAAATCCTAGCAAGTGTTGGAACCGGAGCAAGACGGGCTCCCCACCCGGGGCTAGGCCCACCGGTCGATCTGATGGCGACTTCTTGTTGCATGGCAGCAGCAGGTGACGGCCACAGAAAGAAGAGAAGGCCCCAAAGGAGCACACCAGTGAGATGCCGCCGGAAAGCAACTGACCCCACAGCAATCTCTGTAAGAACCAAGTCGTGGGCAGTCAGATGCCCAATAACCCGAGTGAACGGGTAGGTGCAGATGGCCCTGACGCCGGTAGCTAACCGGTGGAGCGCTCCCGCAGACCCGCCAAAGGAAAGGCCCTGTGCTTGTCCAAGGGAATTGACCGTCAGGACACGACGACCATCCGACTCGTACCATGGCGCAACAGGACGCAACAGCTCCCGAGCAAGACCATCCCGGACAATCCACCATGCAGGGCCATCGGCCGGACAGGACACTACATCCAGTTGAGTTGGTAGGGTGTCATAGGCAACATGCAGGCTGCAGGTCTCCGCACGATGGCCGGCCTCTCGAAGAAGCATGCAGAAAGTGGACAGAGGCCCAGCTTTAGCAACATCAAAGGTGGAGGGGCCCTGAAAAGGCGACCAGACATTGACACGAAGTGTCTCATCCGGGGCATGTTGTCGACAGTACTCCCAAAGGTCAGAGGCATCGATGCTACAATGAGTCGTCTGGCAAGACAGTTCATGACACCAAGCCAGCGCAGATGCCGGGGTAGAGTCGGGCACAGGTGTGACTGACGGCTCCTCAGGCTCAGGCGAGGAGACATCCGCCGTCCCTGCGGCAAAAGGAGTGCTGAGAAGAAGCAGAGCCAAGATGCGGAAGCATGATAGATGGCGAGGAACGGCCCCGGCCCCTGTGCCGCCAACTAGCAGCCCGATAGAGCCGACGGGAAGTTGTGTGGTCGCACGCTGCAGGACATGCTGGATAGCCGCAGACGTATCCCGGCTCGCGTCACACACGAAAGGGTCCTGACCATCATGCAGAAGATGTCCACATTCGCCTGCAAGCGAATAGACTTCGCCAGGCCACTTCCAGACAATGGACTGTCCATGTACCTCGACCCCAGGAAGATCCCAAGTAGTAAGACCGCCTAAGTTCATGATATCTTGCCAGTCAACCGACCTCGTACATGCGGCTTTCACCCATTCCCCTATTCGTAGCGCCCAGGGGTAGTGGCCCTCAGGGCACGGGACTCGACACGTAACTCCGAGATGCGGGCAAGCCAGAGTTTGCATCGGACCTGTTGGGTGGAATCCGGGCACTGCCAGACAGTCTTTAGCAGCGCGCTTCTGAAGCATCGCACCCTGAGGCGTGGGCCGAGCATTGGGTGGCCAATGGAGCGGGACTGTTTGGGTCCCTTGCTCGTGTCCGGCAGTGGGCCGCCCCACAGGGTCAAAACACTCGGGCTGAAGGGCACCTAAGTTCAATAGTGGTGGTGCAGTAGCCTGACTGATACGCCATCCCTGATCATATGCCCGGCAGAAATCGAGACCCAGATGGACAAACAGAAAAGCCTGGCCTGACCTAGTCTGAGAATCGGTGAGCAGAAAATGCCGCAGAATGACAGGGCGCCTCCGCATGACATCTACCCAGAATCCCCTCAGCGCAGATGGTACCTGAGTGATATGCGACAACTCGGGAGGCTCCTGGGAGCCAGTGGAAACGGAGTGCACCACTGGGCGGAAGTCACACTCAGCAGTATCCGACAGCAGTACCGTGAGGGTGCTGAATTGGTGGCAGGGCAAGCAATACAGGTCGACCACCGGGTAGGCGACAGGCAAGCGGATAAGGCCAGCAGCGCCGCACCGGGTCGGGCCATACCACTCACGAAGCCCAGTTTCCAGCTGTCCCTTAGTAAAGGTTTTCGGAACCTGAACAAGTTGAAGCCCTTTATCGGGCGACGTAATCAGCACTTGCATGCTGACTCGCAACCAATGACTGGCATCATGCTTATCGCTCGTGACAGTGAGGTGCCCAACCTCGACGGGGGGCTCAGGCGCGCCGGCATGAGCAACCACAACATCGCCATTGCGAAGAGGGAAAACCGTGCCTTCGCCGAGACGATACGGGTGTCCTGGATGGAGCAATACAAGAGCCTCCAGAATGTGTTGGCCTGGGTGATCAGCCGGGACATCAAGGCAAATAAAGGGTCCTCCACTATCAACCAGAATAGTCACATACTTAGCATCCCTGGCAGGAGCGACGAAGGCAACATACCGGGAATTCAGGGAGGCCAGGACTGGTACCGGGAACTTACGACCAGCGGCTCCGCTGGTCCGGAGCAAGGCATGCCTAAGGTCGCGGGCGGAGTGAGTGCCTCGAATATGGAAAGAGTGCACACTGCCGGCGGCAAAAACCTTAATGAGGAAAGCCCGTGACGGTGCATGTGCGAGGCCTAGGCTGCAGCGAACATCAACATGTTCCCAGTCTCCGAAAACTTGCAAGCGTTGTGCCAACTTGTGGTGTTCAGTGATGCTTGCCAAGTTATTTTCGGGGCTGTGCGGAGGACCATCAATTGGCTCCTGAGAGATGGGGATAGCACCCTCCTGCAAGGGGTCGGCGGGAGGTAAGAAGGTGGCAATGCTTGCACCCCAAAAGAGCCCAAAGAGAAGACCACGGCCACCGAGAAGGTGCGACAACCCGATGCAAACAGCCACACTAAGGGTGGGGCGCCAACCAGCCGAAGGTGGCGAAGCGAGCTCATCACGCATACCATGTTGGCGCCTCCGCACAATAACAAGTGGGGCCGGCACTGCTGCATGCAAGGGAGAGTATGGATCTATCCACACATTCCCGATGTATCACGCAGAGACTTCCAGTGGCAAGGGAGCCCATGACAGAGGTGCTTGCATCAGGCTCGCCGTAAGAAGCCACAGCATCCTTAAGCCTGGTGGCCGGTGGGGAATCCCGCGCCATGGCACCAACGACAAGGCCGCCACCCAAGGGCCGGAAGTCAATGACCCCTGGAAACTGCCCGACAGTGCATTGCATCGCCACGAATTGAATGGCTGGCAAGCGGTCAAGAGGGGGTAGGATCCTCGCGAAATGACTAAATTCAAGTCCCCCACTTGTCACCTCGTGCATGAAGCTCCCCATAACGGTGGAGCGAATGGAAAGGTGGTCGGCGTAGACAGGCGCAAAAGTGTAGTGAAGACCTTGGGTGTACAGGACAACCGCGTTGGCGCCGTTTTCTTCATGAAAGGCCAAGTCGACAGGACTCGGTAACGAGAGGCTGGTGGAAAAGACATCTTCCAGAGACAATCTGGGAGATAGGGAGCCTCCGTGCTCAGTGCGGGCTGATGCTCGGTCGCGTTGGACGGGCCACGCCTGCAGGGTATCTCCCCGAGGCAACATGCTGGTGTAGGCCTGGGGCACGAACCAAGCTCCACAGGTGCGACACAAGAAGTCCTGTTCAGCAATAGAAAGCTGCTGTTGTGCCGCGGCGTCAGCAACGATATTGCCGCAAGGCTGATTGCGCTCCGTAACAACCAGAGAAACGATGCCTCCAAGGGGCCGCAGATCCACAGGCATGAGCACACGATGCCATGGCATGCTGTTAGGCAGCAGCACATATTGTTCAGGTGGCAATGACGGCAGGGTCTCAACTATCCGATGCCAATGCCATGCTGAGGCTTGAACTCCCAAAGCCTCGCAAACCTGAAGAAACAACAAATGACCATGTGCACGATCATCAGCATGCAGAAGGTAGAGCCTCAGGGGGGAGGCAGGAGTGAACACCCCTATGTCACGCAGATACGCTGGCCGACAGAGGTTCTCATTGCGGATGACTGGCCCTTCCACAAAACGAACATGAGCTAGGTCTGCCAACTCAGTGGTAGCTGGAACACTGCCGGTAGAAAATACTGGTTGTCCTCGATGCTGTCCTATCGGCCATACCTGCACAGCATGAGTGGGTGTGCAGCAGAGCCAGAGAAGCCCCAAGGTCCTGCGTAGGTGTATGGAAGGCCTGTACCTGCTGAGAGCATAGGGCTGCCGTTGGATGCCCCATGTTCTGCATTGGGTGACGGCACCTTGGCGAGGGCCTCCGGCCCGGTACGGGAAAGAGGCAGCAAGCCGCCGAGGTACTAAATCAAATCCAGCCCCCAACCGGAGTTCAACCCACTTCAGAAGGAGAAGCCAGGGTATAAGACTGTATAACCCGCAGCCCAGCAGGAAAGTCCAGGCAGAAACAGACTGCCGTGTCCGGCAGGTTCGAGGCGCTAGTCTAGGTCGGCCGGGGCTGCCTCCCTTGGCACTGCTAGGAAAGGGCATGGGAGCCTCAGCACTGCTTGGACATGTGGGTTGACGGAAGCAGCAGTGGGGAGGTATCCTAAGCAAGCACCCCCCATCTCGACCAGTTGCTCCGGAAAGAGCCATTCCTGTGCCGTAGCGGGCGCATACGCAAAAGGATCTAACAGTCCCCCTATAGTAACATGCGCAGCAACTAGGATACCCTGCGGCAACTTGGACAAGACAACCGGGAACTGTCTTGCCCGATAAAGCACATCGCGCAGGCCGTCGTGGAGGTCCTGAAGGCAAGTTTCTGACGGCCTGGCAACAGCATCTTGGAGCAACTGCCACACATGCCCGGCTACCTGAAGAGTAACCTCGGCAGCCTGGGTGTCGGTGCTGAGGGGAAGGGCAGCATCCTGTTCGGCACTGACAGCAACTTCGCCGACTGGGTCCGCTCCGTTTTCGACTGCGAACCTGAGAAGTGACAGCCACGCAATCTGCCAGGTTAGAGCCACTGGGGTCTCCGCTGCCACTAACTCCGGCTCGGAGGTCGTCACACTTGTGATTGGCACCCTGCGGGGTGCTTCGGGTGTCCTGCCCGTGGCCTCGCTGAGCCACGGCTCGCCCGAAGCTGAAGCCCGTCGAGGACTCTTGGACGGCCGATCGGTTCCGCCTCCACTTCGCTTCCGCCACCGCCCCGCAACGGGCGCCGCAGGGATCTCTGGACCAGGGGCAGGTGCGAACGGCCAAACCACGTGGGCTGGGTCGCTTCTGGATGCACCAGCAGTGGAAGGATTGACCCCCAACCCAAAACTGGCTTCGGAATGTCGATCGTATCCTCGATGCTCCGGGGCGGCAGCCGTGGTGAGGTGCTCGTGGGTCAATTGCAAGGCCGTCGAAGCCTCGCCAAAACCGGATCCAGGAAGTAGGGTTCGAGGTGGCCCACTCCCTGCAGCTGCCGTACCCGGACTCTGTACCACGGCAAAAGCACGAAGTGCCGCTGCGATTCGTTGAATCTCGGTCTCCTGCACCTCGGTCCACGACATGCCCATCGAGGCCGTAGCGAGGGAGACTTTGTCTAGGGATGTTGAAGAAGGTTGATGGACCAGAGCTTCGTTCATCTCCTGAACCGCCTGCGCTGTATCCTCGTCGATCTTGGTACACACAGCACGGGTGCGGCCGATCAATCCCAACAAATGTTGACCGATAGTGACGCACCAGTGTTGTAAAGCAAGTCCAAGTTCGTCTTTCGCACGGACGTTGCCAGTCAGCCTCTTTGATAGTTTTGAGATAGCGTTCGCTCTCCGTTGAGCGAGCTGTTCGGCTGTAGCATCTTCTAGGGAGAAGGCATGTGATCCCCAGAGATCTTGGGTTGACCTTGTTGCAATTGACTGCAAAGAAGTAGACACCGCAGCTGGGAGAGCGAAATCGATCTTGGAAACCTGCGGATGCTCTCCTTTTTGCCCCTTGCCAGAGGCTTTTGCTTTGTCTGTATTGGCCTTCGGTGGCATACTGCCGTGGTGCTGTCGGAGCAGAGAGATATCGGAGGCCAAACCAGTGCCACGATGAAGCCTCCGCCTCGCTTGAGAACGAAGTCGCCGAAGACGACGATGCCACCCAGGGCTGGCGCACCGCTTGCGCCTCACCTTGGGAAAAATCACGTGCCGGTGCAGTACCGACGTAGATAAGTGCCACACCAATCAGCACCAAAGGGATCAGTGGCGTGTACAGCTTGCCCTGCCTCATACAAGCTGCGAAAGAGGGGAGAAGCGCTCTCCCGGGAAAACCTTCGTCAGCCAAGCAAATGGCAGTGACGAAGGTGGGCAAAGGCCCGTCGCGTGGCCACCGCAGAACCAGCACGGGCGCGCCGCAATGGCGCTGGGGTCAGGTATAAAAAGAGGGGCTACCAACTCCACGGGAGACGGGAGTCCCAACTTTTCTCGAGCCGTGACGCCTGCCACGAGAAACCCGGAATCCTAAACTCTGAATCCTACATCCATGAAGCCGTACCTGCAGTAGAAGCCAGAAAGTTGGAACATCATTGGCCTCATGCCCTTAAGGTAAAGTATAGGGAATCCTAGCACGGATCCTCCTAAATCCATGTTCCAACTTTCTGGGGTTCACTATAGAGGCTCCATAGTAGTTCCTTTTTGGGGTTCATATAGAGAATCCTATAAGGCAATCCCAAAAAGGAACTACTATGGAGCCTATGGGTAAACCCCAACTATTACGTGGTCTAGTGGTCGGGTTTCAGGGGATTCGGCCCAGCTTTAGGGTTTAGGGTTTAGCGGTTTGGATTGGAGGTCAGGGCTTGTGGGCCGTGGGGCGGTTCAGCTGTTTCGCTCAGGAGTTGTTCGGTTTAGGGGCAAGAGAAGAAGCCCTAAACCCTAATTAAACCCTAAACTCTCATTACACCCTAAACCCTAAACCTTAATTAAACCCTATGGCAGAAGCCAGAAAGTTGGAACATTAGTATCCTCATGCCCCTGAAGTAAAGTATACGGGATCCTAGCACAAATCCTCCTAAATCCATGTTCCAACTTTCTGGCTTCTACTGTAAACCCTAATTAAACCCTAAACCCTAACATAACAGCAGATTGCTACTCTAAGCCCAAATGAACCCCGGAGCCGCCATCACTAAGCCCCGAAACGCTAAACCAGAATGCTACTCTAAGCTCTAAGCCCGTTTAGGGGTTTAGGGTTTAGGATTTAGGGTTTAAGCCCCACAACAAAAACCCCAAACCCCTGAACTCTAAACCCCTAAGCCCTACGTGGAACCTATACACCCGTTCTTTATTTTGTTTGCCTTCTCTAAGTCCTCAAAAAGGCATCGGAGTCGGGGGGTAGATCATACCATAGTTATAATAAGGAACCCCCAAAACACTATTCTCATCATTAAGGCCCCTACACTAACCACACCTGGCAGGCGCTCATGGTGGCATTGTAGCAGATTGCATTCGGCAGGATGCTCTTGTTGGCCATGATCCCAAAGGTCCTGCAGTACATCGCAGATCCTACCTGGACCCTGAAGAGCCTACCCTTGTAGGCTAAAGGGCTCTCCATTATGATTTCCTTACAAAAGTCCTCAGAAAGGTAGGATACGCGGGGCCCAGGTAAGCCTTAATTAAGTCCTATAAGCCCTAAACAAAACCCTGAGGTTCCCGTCTCCCCGCAAATAGCTTTGTGGCTTTGGGTGTCTGGGAGGAGGCCTGTCGGGTTTAAGCTTTCGGCCACGGGATAGACGATTCGACTCTTGGTCCTTCTCCAAACTGGCTGGTTCTAATTAATGTGCATATGGGTAGTTGTCAAAATTATGGTCCCTTTTTGGAGTCCCTATTATAATATGGCACCTATTATTTAGGGTACCCCAAAAGGGACCTCAATTTTGACAACCACCCATATGTGAATGAGTTTCTCAGAGGTGACATCGGGGTTTTGGACGACGATTTGCGGTGCTGATTCCACATCAGCCAGGTGTCTTCAAAGCCGACTGCCACTGCAAGCCTTTCTCAAGCGCGCTGATGGCAGCACTGAATACGGCGACGTCGGCACCTGAGATTTTCGGCTCTCTGATTCTGCAAAGAGTTGGGGAAATGAAACCAAGAACTGGATCTAAACCTAAAAACCATCTCGGTGCATCTCGACACAAGGGATCAGAGCAAACTTGCCGCACGAACGCACGGCCCCAGATCCGAATCTTAAACTAGTAGCAGGTACTCTTTGGGCTTCTGGGTTTAGGACAAGCTGGCACTTGAATTTACCTACTTGTCGGGTATCATGGGGAACTAAAGGTTAACCTTTTTGGCTACATAGGGATCATATAGGGGCTATACTACCCAAAAAAGGTTAAAAGTTACCTGCTCTACGACTACTAGGTTTAGAAAAGAAGCAACCCACCGGCCAGCCTAGCAAAACGGGACTTGGACGACGAACCACGCGCACTGCAACTAGGGTTTAGGGCAAAGGGCTCTTAATTATGCCTTCTAAAACCTAAGTCCCGAATAAATAGTAGCCTATCTGGACCGTGGTGGATAAGCCCAGCAGCTGGGTGTTAAGATCATTTTAAGATCATGATATCCTTCACACCCCACTCTTCTTGCATCCTGCACCCTTCAAGGGTAGGCTGGCTAGAAGTTCACCACCTGCAGCTGCAACCTAACTCCAACAAGATTTGCAACCTCAGCGTCAAGACCCTCTATGGCACATACGACTATATATAACCCTGGTAAAGCTAGTTGTAACACTCAAACATCAATCAAACATCAATCATACCCATGGAAAATGCCATCAAATCGCCATGGAAAACACTCTTAACCATAAAAACCAGGCTAATCACGATTGGACCGAGAGTCTCATGATCAGATCGGAGCTTCCTAGCTCCTCCAGCAGTTCAACAACCATGCGCCACCTGCGAGCAGTTGTTCGCTGGGTTTACGGTTCAGGGTTCAGGGTGGCGCGTTCAGGATCTTGCAAAGTTTGCTGGTACAAATACCGCTGCCGAGCATAGTATGAGAAGATCTGACAGTGTGAGGGTGCAGTATTTCTATAGTTTGCTGGCTTGGAGTTGTTTAAAGTTGAGGGTTTGGGATTAGGAGTTCAGGGTTTCGGCGCAAAGAAGTTGCGCTCGATGCAATGGCAAAAACCCCACACACTTCCAGGAGACCCATGTTTCCAAGTTCACTTTCTAAATACCCTAAACCCCTAAACCCTGAACACTAAGTCCCTAAACCCCTAAACCCTAAACCCTTAAACCCTGAACCCTAAATCCCTAAACCCCAGTATAACGAAGGACGGGTACCAACTCCCTCCCCATGAGTGAAATGTCCGGCCGAACTTAAAAGGGCACAGGGGTACTAGTGGGTTTAGGGTTTATAGGGTTAAGGATTTAGGATTTAGGGTTTAGGGTGTAGGGTTTAGGATTTAGGGTTTAGGAGTTTAGGAGCTATAGGAAATTACACCTTGTAGAAACCCCCTTGACAAACTCTATGGAACCCTTCCAAACTCGAGAAAAATCCTGCAAACTGATGGACTCACAAGGCTTTCCAAGGCGCTGCCAGCCCTTCTCCAAACAGGTGATCATCGCGCTGTATGAGACGATGCTGGGTGTGAGCTGCATCCTGGGAATGGGATATTCCCTAAACTAACCCAGAAACTCCAATATCCCTTAATTCAGGAATAGGCCTTAAATTATAGTAGGATCCCTTATATGATTTAAAGTATATTCCTTAATTAGGGGATATTGGAGTTTCTGGGAATGAAGTGACTCATATCGTTATCGAGGCCGTATACGTATGCCTGTGTAAGAAACTCTAATATCAGGGCCTTAATGATTAGAATAGGGTTCTGGGGCCCATTATACTATAGTTATAATAAGGAACCCCCACAATCTTATAGGTAATTCTTAAGGCCCCTATAGTACACCTTTAGGCCCAATCCGCAGCCCAGCAGCATTGGGAGGCTGCGGAACACAGCCAACGCCAAATCCCACCGCGCCGGCTTCGCGCAAGCACTGATGCATGCATTGTGTGGAATCCTCGTTTTCTGTGGGTTGGATTTCTGGCTCGTGCAACTCCCTATCGCAACCCCAACTAACCTTCTAAACCCAAAAGAAGTCTATATGCGTGGTTGTCAAAATTATGGCCCCTTTTTGGGTACCCTAAATATTGGGTGCCGTCACTTATTCCTGTCTCAGAAAGGGACCCTAATTTTGACAACTACCCATACAAACCCGGCACACCCAAAAAGCCCTCGACCGGATGCACTTTCGGCCAAGATGCACATCGCCGCAGATTCTGGAGCTCAAGAATTCCTGTCGCCTGGGTGGTGGAGATCGAAGACTATACAGTAAAAGCCAGAAAGATGGAACATCATTATCCTGATGCCCTAAAAGTAAAGTGTAGGGAAACCCAGCACAAATCATCCCAGTTCCATGTTCTAACTTTCTGGGGTTCACTATAGGGGTTACGGTTCAAAAGTTTAGGGCTTCAGGCTTTGCAGTGGGGGTTTGGGGTTCAAGGTTTCAATGTTTAGGGCTTCGTGTCTGAACCACGACCCACCCAAGTATTCTTGACAGGGATCCAACATGGTCTTAGGGTTTAGGGTTTAGGGGCTACAATAAATAACAGTTGGGGTCCTAGGAAAGGGTTTGCCTGACAACGATCGCACCAAGTCACAGTTGCATGGCCTGCTGCCAGAGAGCACCCTTCTGGCATGCGCTGAGGGCAGCGCTGTAGCTCATCCTTACTTGATGAGGGGCTTGGAGGTTCATCATGGTTTACAAGCTAGGTGAGGCATATAGCTGTTTGGGATTTTCTGTTTAGAATTGACACTTGGCGGTGGTTTTCGAGGCTAAACAGCAGTACTTCCCATAAGAGTAGGATACAGTATAGGATTCAACATCCATATGAAAACCTGTCTCCATCTCGAACAAAAGCCTTGTACTGTAGGGGCCTAAATATTTACTAATACAAACTTGTGGGCTCCTTATTATAACGAAAGCATAGTGGGCCCCAAAACCCTACTCTAATTATGTAGGCCCCTAATTTTACAGTATGGTCTCTAGGTGCAGGACACTGAAAAGCTTAACAGAGAATCGCCAAGGAACAAGCTCGGCGAGATCTTTGCACCGGACATGAAGGCAAAAAGGTCCAACGAACGCTGCCACTGTCGCCCTGCCTGGTGAAGCTAACATGCGAATTGGAGTCTAGCTGGGGAAATGCAAAAAGCACTGACAGGCATACAAACTTCACAATTCAACATCGTAATATATCGATGATGATATATACGCTAAGTCTCGTTTTTGTTGAAGGCCCGTAAGGTCTACGAGCCCCTGAGACTCGACTGGAACGAGGACCCGGGGGTAGGGTTTAGGTTTAAATGTTTTCGGGTTTAGGGACTGTGGTTCAGGCTTGGGATTTTCGGGTTTGGGTTTCGGGTTCTTAGGAATTCTCACTGGTTGGCGGCAGCAGCTTAGGTTATGCTCCTACCTTACCTTTCGTTTATGGGTACATAGCACACCTATAACAGACGACTTTAACCAACCCTCAACGATCAACTCTGATACACTGTACACCTGCATTCCTTTGGCCCTAAACCCTAAACCTTCAACTCGAGGATTTCGGGCTCAGGGTGTGCACCTTGAAACCTCTGTGCGGCAGCGTACCCCATGAATCGTGGAAACACATTAGGCGCTTAACTTCAAGGAGCAGCACGACGTCAGGAGTGAAGGGACGGAGCTGCAACTTTATATACAGTATTCACAGGGCCCTGAAACACTTTTTAGGGATAAGGGCCTAGGGTTAACCCAAAGCCTTAAAGCTTTTGCAAAGGGACCAGGGAAATGATGCTCTGATCACGAGAATCATGGTTTAGGATGTAAGATCGGAGCCCCGGCTTCATCATGCCATGAAGCTTATAGCCCTAGTCCCAAAACCCAAAACCCTAAACGCCTTCACCATAAACAAAGAGGCCAGAACCCAACGCCTCAGGAACTTACTTCTGAAGTCTGGGACCTTTTGAGGAGGGGCAAATCCGTGATAGCCTGTAGGGCACTCTGGGCAGCACTGAAGGTGACGTCGTCCTGAGCAGAAGGTGAGGGTTACACAAGATCAACATGACGATCCACCTCTTGCCGGAGAGGTCTGACTTACGACGTGGGCGGGGGAGATTGTTTGTTTGCTGAGATAACTTGGCCTGATCTTTTTATCGGACCCTGACCGTACAGCAGGCCGCTGCAAAAGACTTCTTAGGATTCCGCGCTCAACCCTTGAACCTGGCACCATGAAGCCTGAACCCCATAGAACCTAAGTAGATTAAAGTCTCCTTGTTGGCCTTAGCTTTCGCACAGGGACAGAAGGTAAAGATAAAACGCACCAAAACTACCTATAAGCAACACGAAGCTGTACCCCCGAAACCCTCGATCCTACACCAAATTATACCCCGCATACCCTAAACCCCCTAGGGTCCCTAAACCACCGAAACCTCCACCCCTAGAATCCCTAAACCCTTTCAACGGAAAACCCTAAGCCCTCAACACAAAAACATATACCCTAAACCCTAGAATCCCTAGAATCCCTTAGCCCTTAACCAAACCTCCGTAGCAGCTCCGGGTGTGACCGAGGGTCGACGACCAGGTCGTTCGAAGGCATCGCGGCAACGACTGTCCTGAGGGTTTAGGGTTTAGGCTTTGAACTTCGAACGTTTAAAGCCTCCCGTGTAGGTTAATGCTGAAAGATTGAGAGCTTACGGCGGTGTAAGGTAAAGTCTTGGGGGGCCGGGGGTTTAGGGTGTATAGGTTGTGTACAGTGTTGGGGTTGAGGGCCAGGATTGATTGAAACATCAAAACTAAGACACCTACGTGTGGCCCTTACAAATGCTTTCTATAGCAGGATGAATAAGGTATTCCTTAGAAGCTGCCCCCACCCTGTAATAGTGACTATAAGGATTATATTCCTACTATACCACTATTACAGGGTGGGGGCAGCTTCTAAGGTAATCCCAAGTTCCTAAAGCCCGTGAGGCCGGCCTGCAAGGCCTGGTACAAAATAAGCTCGAAAGCAGAAACCACGGAAAAGACAAAGCACGACAACTGAACACTCTAAGATCCTAGAACGACTAGGCCCCGAGCCGCTGTGTGTCCCCACTGCAAAACCTACTGAATAAAAATGACGGGGCCACAACACCACCGTTAAGAAACCCTGGCCTCCTTCACTTTCTGCAACATCCTATATTGAACTTAGAACCCTAGCAACAATCATAATTTTAGCTGTTTCTTAGGGATCATAATAACCAAAAACAAAAAATATTTCTAAGTACCCCTAAGCTGCCTCCCACCCCAAGGTCCCAAACCCAACCCCCCCAAACCCGTAAACGGCCCTTCAAGACCCTTTGAGATTGGGGTGCGACATGAGCAACGCCAAGGCTTGCGGCCACTGGGAACCTGGGAAGAAGGGTTCCGTCAAGGGGTCCTTTCAGGGTTCCTTTAGGCGTTCTGTTTAGTTTACGGTTGTATGCTTCGGGCCACACTAAACCCTGCACCTTAACCAGACATATGGTCTAGGCCACCCTGCTACTCTTGTAGACCTCATAAAGCCCTGAGCCCTATGCCTAACTACGTAAAGATAACCACAATGTTATAGGAACCAGATGCTTATCGGACACCTAAGACTTAAACCGGATCCACAAACGCGCCTTCGACTTTTTCTTGAACGAAAAACAGCCTCGGTATCCAAGAGCTTCCTTGCAGCAGGGGCCATGCTTCACGCACTCCCCCTCGCTCCCGGCTCCAAGACGAGAGCGAAAGGTCTAAAAGCTGCGTAGCAGATATGGAAAATCATCGTCCTCATACGCCAAGGCCCCCTGAACTGCGAACGCTCCTTGATGATATTAACAAAGCCGGGACCAAAAACCTGTCGAAAGTCAGTTCCTGTCCGAATTCTCCCGTCTGTAACTCGAGAGACACACTCCTTCGGAGTTAACTCGGTACGAACTCAGGCGTCCCCTATACCCGAAGAGAGAGAACACGGAGGTCAACCTAGCCTAACCAGACTTAGCTTGATCAGGATATAAAAGCCCGGATATACCGGAGTTGAACCCCAAATCCTCCTCCTCGTATGTCCTACCAGAGGCAATCGTGCCAACGACAACTGTCACTCCATCCACAGGAATCATCAGTCTGAAATGTAGCCTTCCTCTTCTAGGCGAGACATCCAACAGCCTATCATCGCGTACAGGTCAGACTGAACTTCTTGTGAATAGAGTTCCTCATCTACCTTAAGTCCGGCCTTCCAGAGGCTGAACAGAATGTGAGCTTTATCAGGCACTTCATCCGGCAGAACGCATGACTCCCAAACAGAGCCACGTGTTTGACTCTCGGCTGTTTGGCGCGACGGTTCACGTCCGCTGGAGACTCGACGACGAGCGATCTCCCAGATCCCTATGACAAATGCGATCTTTATCAGCTCAAAGAAGACTACGCCTACACCGGACCAACCTTCAGCAGCATCACCTTTAGCAGGGTTGGGCCCACACGTGGTTTCAGCCTCAAACCTTTCGGTAACCTCTGTAACCGAGTACTCGTACACGATCCCTTGAGCCTGGGCATGTCTAACAACCCCAAAAAGAATCCAGACCCAAATGAACAACAACCTTCTAGCACGAGACCACCGTTCAAAGTCCTCGATTATGATCCCCGAAGCCTCGCTCCATGATCCTACTGCCGATCGAACGAAGCCAGAGTGCAGCCCACTCCCAATCCGAACACCAGCGCTACAACCCACAATGAGGAGCCAAAGCCACAACCCTCGAACTTCCCAAGCGCTCCCGTCGCTATCAGCAATGATTTGCCACAGGCTCTCAACACCGACAGCTGAAACGCACCATCCTAGGACTACGGCAAGAGATGCTCCTACAAATCCGAAGCTCCCCTGAAAACCTGAATGGATGGACCCAGAAGTCGAGACAGCGCCTCGAAACCCATTGGGATCATCACTGCTACTGGAGGGCTCACCACCACCTACAGTAGAGTCCTCACTCATGAACCGTTGGAATGCTCGCCAATCACCCCTAACTAAACCCTCAACTACTGTGTCTATCTGTCCTTGATCCCATCCTTCAAGCGGTATTCGAAGCACATCATCTCCATACGCAACGGCTAGCGCTCCATTCTCGGCCCAATACGTCGGCCCAGGCGGCTCCGTCTGAGGAGGCCCTTCCAGCTCCCCTTCAGAAGATTCACACGCTTGCACTTCACTAGAAATTCCGCTATCAGAACCCGACACAGACACAACTGACGGCTCGGTTGTAGAAGCACCATATGTCTCATCACTTTCAACATCGGAATCTACGGCCTCAAGCATCTGCACCCACTGCGGCATAACATAGCCCGGATGGGCTGGAGCATTATGTGGTCTTTCATCAATCTCCGGGTCATCAGAGTCGTCAGTGACTCCACCTTCTTCTAATTCAGCGCCTTGAATATAAGCATCGGCAACGGAGTACCACTGAGGACCTTGAAATTGCAGGGTCCAACGCGTGCGTCGCATCATTTGGGTAACTGTGCAAACCAGGCTCGCACGAAGTTGCCCCGACACTTCCCTTAGGACCCGCCATTCAACTGCCCTTTGGCCGAGAAAGGTCAAAATTTCACTCCCTCGCAGAGATAGCAGCACATCTAGATAGTGCCGTCGAACTAAACCCCTTACAAGAGGAAACACCGGCTCCCTATCTTCCTCAAACAGATCCTCGTAGCACGTCGGTTCCCTGCTTTCTACTAACGGTTGAACATGCCCAACGCTTCCAGCTGACCCATGTCCTTCGGGAGTCTCAGGCTCTCCCACAGATGCAGATGGTCCGGTAGAGGGATTCCCGGAACTCGAAACTAGAGCCGTTACAGGAACCCACTCAAAACGATCACCTACCTGCACAAATTGGAAGGCAACCCTATAGGCTACATCCCTAGACGGAACTATGCAACCCGTATCCCTGAATGACCCGAGAAACTGAAGAACCCCATTAGACCAATACACTCGCGCAGAACTCCGTAAGCAGGTCCAGGCGGCAGCATCATTTCCCAAATACACCCAAAGTGTCCCGGCAACTTGATTACACAGCTCTTCAAAGGCTACACTCCCTTCTACGGTAGAACTTAATAGAGCATCATCAGAGCCACTGCTCCCCCCAATCTGGACACTCGGCGTCGGCCCATCCTGACTGGAACTGCTCCCCCCAATCTGGACACTCGGCGTCGGCGCATCCGCATCCTGACTGGAACTGCTCCCCCCAATCTGGAGATTCGGAGAAGGCGCCTGGGAATTAGGAACAACTGTATCAAGCCCCGTGAACCACGAAGGTGCTGGTCCGTAGCGTTGCATCATATTAGGGGGATCAACTAGGTCACCCTTTACAAGCTGCTGTCTCAACTTAGCCCTCTGAACGAAGGTTAGCCCTGTATAAAGCTCCCGTTCGATTAAAGCCCTTTGGGACTGTTCCCACTCCTCTTCATCAAACACATCAGAATCGGAGTCTACCTCACTAGGATCCCCAGGCTCGACAGCTAAACCAGAAGTACCCTGAACCTCGTGAACGTCCTGCTCGGAGCTCGAAGGGGTTTCGAAAACAGCGGGATCCTCAAGTGTGGCTTCAGGCCCCTGTTGCACCAGACTCCGGTCATCTTCAGGCCCTGTGGACAAGGATACAGCAGCTCTAAAAACCCTAAACCAAATCCACAACAAAGCCACAATGGCCAACACAGCGCCTACGGCCCAAGCCAACAAGTCGTTTTCCCAAACCCTGGGTTCAAGAGGTTGCGCCTTAACACTGGGCAACACCGCCAACAGCGCAATTCCGGCTAGCCATTCAGCCTTCACAAGTGCACCGGATCCATTTATGGAAAGTCGACTAACAGCCCTGGCGGACACTTCATCGGCCTCTCCGGAATCAAACTTCAATCCCAAGAGCCCGAGCAAATACATGATTCGCGGCCGATTTAACGGTTTGGTCGCAAGGTCTGCGACCTGGCTTTCGCCAGCGACAAAAGAAACAACCAACGATCCTGCCTTGATGCGCTCCCGGGCAGCTGCTGCCCTCATCCTTAAGTGTCGGGACCTCCAACCAAGGCTCCCCGCGGCAAAAGCGCGGACAGAGGCTTGGTTGTCGCATAAAGCAGAAATGACGACATCATCAGCGACGAGTTCTTCTATGATAGCCGCAACGGACTCTGCAGCAACGATGCCAGCAGTTACGGCGACCAGCTCAGATTCTGCCGATGACAGAGTTATGAATGGTTGTCTACTTGACTCCCAAACCAATAGCATACCACACCAAAGGATAAAAATCGCTTGGCAAGATCGTCCTCCCTCTGGCGCGTGTGACGCGTCAGTAAAAAGCTCAAGCGTTGTCAAGGTTCGCGGAATCGGCGAGTCAAGCCACCAGCTTCCGCTGGGTTTTCTGTATTCAACCCAGAGATCAGCTGTTCCATAAAGATATTGTAGCACCTGGCGACCTTTCTGAAGTACAATGGAAGGAGCTTTTGTGGCATACTGACCAAGCTTACTGACAGCAAAGGCTATGTCGGGTCTGGTTTTCGTCGAGGCCCACAATAGTGCACCGGTCAACGCCTGTGCATCTCTTACTGTCTCCAGCTTCGCTT